GTTTGCTGGTTTTATTGCTTCTGAAACTGGGGGTTCCCTTCCCAGCTCATGGTCATTGGTAGAATTAAGTTTCTTGTTCCGGTTGGACTAAGGACTCCTTTTTCTTGTTGGCAATTAGCCAGAGACCACTTTCAACAACCTGAGGCTGCCCTCAAATCCTTGCCATGTGGCTGTCTCTATAGGCAGTTTGCAACATGGCTGTTTGCTTCTTCAAAGTCAGTGGGTGAGCATCTCTCTGGCTTTAAATCTCTCCCTTCAGAGGAGGCCTCAATGCACTTTAAAGGTCACATCTGAGTAGGTCAGGCCCATCCAGGATAATCCCTCTTTTGACTAACTCAGAGTCAATTTCCTAGGGACTTTAACAAGCACCTCTGCAGAATCTCTTTACCTTTGCTAGAGAGTGTAGCCTACTCACAGGAGTAATAGCACATCTATTAAGAAGTTCCAGTCACAATCAAGGGAAGGAGATTATGCAGACCATGTACAGTAGGGGGTGAGATTCTCAGGGTCCATCCTAGAATTCTGCCTTCCAGAGTGTCTAAGATGCCTTGTTTGGCAAGCAGAATCTTGTCCTTGGCACTTCTCAAAAAGCACTCGGTTTAATAATGGCTAAAACCCAGTTTTGGGGGGCAGTTCAGTGTCTGAGAATCAGTGCTGTTTTCTTTTTCCATGTAAGTAATATTGAAAATATAATTTTTGACTTCTAAAAAAAGTAGTCATTTTGCTACCAATCCCACGTTCATCTTTACATTTTCAACTACCTATGATGACGATGCTACATGCCTACTGTGTCATTGTTTAGAAAGTGCTTCAAAAAGTTGACTTATTAACATGAAGAGATTTTCAAAAATAGTATGAGGTGGAAAACCACCTGCAAAGTTATGTATACTATAAGTCCATTTTTATTACCACTTCAGGTAGGTAGGTAGAACACAAAAATGGAAGGAAGGAAAGAAGGAAGAAAGGAAGAGAGGAAGATGGGAGGAAGGAAAAGAAGATGCTAATAGCAGTTGGGTGGATTTTGTTTTGCTTAACTTTATTAAAAATTTTTTTCTTCATCAAAATTGCTTGTGTAATTAAAACATATAATTGTTAAGTGAAGAACATGAAAGCTTGCTCCTGAAGGGTGAGAAAGAATAATGAGCATTTTTCATGCAATATAACCATCTTAGTTTCTAGAGATACGTATGATATACCATAAATGCTGATTCTCTACCTTTTAGTTTTAGAAAAGAAGATTAACATATATTATGACTTTTGTTGCTGTTAATTGGAGAATTGGGATAAAAATAAAATGATATTCAGTGAAGACAGGTAATGTGGCTCACTGAAGAAGGAAAATTAAATGCACAAATGTAGAATAAGGGAATGCCGAACTGGGAATGTTACCACAGAGAAAGATCTGGTGGTTATAAGCAGTGGGTAATAAATTAGGTATGAGTCAAAAATACAGTGTTATAAAAAAAAAAGTAAGTGTGATAGAAAATGGAGTTGTATTCACAGAATACTGCACATAAAATGAGTTAGAGCTTTATAGAGTACAAAGAAGCAATCAATAAATAAATTTTTAAAAGTGCCAAGGAAAAACAGAAGAAAATTAGGTGATAATGGCTCAAATTAACAACATTGTAATTAATGTGCCTGGACCAAAACGTAGCATTTAAGATTAGAAAGATACAGACTAAAACAATTAAAATATTGAAGATAATGAGAAATCTTACAGTTCTTAAATGCATGACATGTTAAAATTTATAACTTGTAGTCTAACATTAAGGAGACTAAAAATACTAAAAAGGAGACTTTAAAAAGAGACTGAAAATAGACTGCTGCCTCTTTAAAAGCAGCTTACTTCCATTTCGAGTATATAATATATGCCCCCATTTAACATAAATTATATAAAAACTAAAAAGTGCTCATCCCAAATAAATTTTGGGTCATGGTTATCTAAAGCATTGAAAGTATATAATTTTGTACTTTAAATTTACAATTGCATGAGAATATATATTTAATATTTAGAATATAAACTATAATTTCATACCAAACAGATCTAGGTGGAAGAGTTTATATATCACTTGAGAGAATTCTGCTAAAGTGAAAGACTACCACAAATATTTAGAAATGTTCTATTAGTAGGCTATCTAACCTGCTAAAACATCTATAGTTGCATTGGTAAAGCATTACCTATTATTTATAAAAATTATAAAAGATGATTACCAACTACTAATGCAGGCTCTTACAAATGTTTCAGATGTATTATAGTACATTACATTCCCAAATACTTTTGCAAACCAAATCTTCCATTCTGTTCCTGTGGATTTATTCAATGTTTTCACTTTCTAAACAACAAAACAACACCGTCTACAATATACTAGAAACTCCAGTCCCTCTCCGCAAGAATACACTCTGTACATACTTGCTAGAACAAGAGTTTGGTCTCTAAAGCATTATGAGAAATAGACCAAGCACAGGATTTGAAGTTAGAAGATATTGGTCATAGCAGCACCAATTAGTTCTATAATTAAAAATATGTTTCTTCTGTAAGCACAACTCGTAGGGTTGTTGAGGACAAAGCACATTTAACATATAACTGCCATGCACTCCATAAAAGGTGTTTATTATTGCTACCACTCCATTGCTAAAGAATTTATAGTACTTTTAATTTTCTTGTTTACTTAAAAAATTATGTAATAATTTGACCATGTTCATCAATCTCTTGTATGTATCTTTTATGATACAAGATGATCTCTTGTATGATAGCCATGCCTTTCAATAAATATTTGAATATTCCTACTAATTTTCAGGTCAAATCAATCAATATTTGAATTCATACTTTGTACCACAATGTGGTCAATGGAGAAAAGTTTAATTAAATGTGTGTCTTAGTCCATTTGGGCTGCTGTGACAAAATACCATAAACTGGTTGGCTTATAAACAACAGAAATTTATTTCTCACAGTTGTGGAGGCTGGAAGTCCAAGATCAAGAGAGCAGTTTATGTGGTATTTGCTGAGGGGTAACTTTCTGGTTCATAGAGTAGTACCTTCTTGTTGGGCCCTCACATGGTGGAAGGGGTGAAGGGTCTCTTTCAGGTTTCTTTTAAAGAGAAACCAATCCCATTCAGGAAGCTGAAGGCTGATCATCTCCCAAAGGCCCCACCTCTTAATAGCATTACCTTGTGGATTAGGCTTTCAACACATAAACTTTGAGGGGAAACAAACATTCAGACCATGGCAATATGGTTCTTTCCTTGGGGAGCAGGTCATATTAGTTGATAAATCAATATACCAATCAATGGAATCAAAGTTTCATCAAAAGTTAAATAAGTTTAATATTTAAATAACAACTTCAGCTACAGCTATAGTCTCCTCTCCACAGTACCCATTCTCTTTTTCTGCTTAATGAAGTAATGAAGTCATCTTATTTCTCATAGTTTCCCTTATATATTGAACCTCAAGTTTGAGAGTTAATCTGCTTGTCTTTTCCTGTATGTTGTTTTCATGTATTCATCTCTGTACCTTCAAATATGACATATTCATGCCTTTTGTCAGCTTTGTCATTTATGAAAGATAACTTCTTTCAAAATCCAGCTCACCATTGGCTGATGTATCATCTGTGTGTAGAGTTGTTGCTGTTTTGGTGTGTTTTGTTTTGTTCACTGGCATTTTCTTTTCCTGGCTAAGCTGTAAGTTCGCCAATAAAATAATACCTGGTACTTAGTAGGTACTAGAAACATTTTCATTAAATAAATGAATGGGAATATATGTTGCTTAAATAAATGAATGGGAATAAATTAAGCCAATTGCTTAATTTTATGCCATAACTAAACATTTTCATTATCAATCTTATGATTTTATTGGAAGAATAACTAAACACTTATTTTGGGGCTTCTTACACACTTAATAATTATAAAGGATTCTTTTGAGGTCAGAAAAAATTCTTTTGACTGAAATATTTTATTATTCTAGGTCACAAAATAATTTTTAAAGTTATAAATTTAATACATTGTCATTATAAAGGTTTGGGAAAAAAAGAAGGGAACAAGGAAGTAAAAATGAAAATCAGCTATAATTGTACCATTCAAAGAAACAATAACAATATTACACTTATAATGTACATCAAATTTTTTGTTCTTTTTAAGGTTTACAATTTTATCATAAGTGTTTCCCATATTATTAGTCTCAAACAGCATCATTTTTCTTGTTTGTTTTTGTTTGTTTGTTTGTTTGTTTTTGGAGACAGGGTCTCACTCTGTCGCCCAGGCTGGAGTGCAACGGCACGATCTTGGCTCACTGCAACCATTGCCTCCCAGGTTCAAGCAATTCTCCTGCCTCAGCCTCCTGAGTAGCTGGGATTACAGGCGCACACCACCATGCCCAGCTAAGTTTTGTATTTTTTAGTAGAGACAGGGTTTCACCATGTTGGTCATGCTGGTCTTGTACTTCTGACCTCATGATCTGCCCACCTCGGCCTCCCAAAGTGCTGGGATTACAGGTGTGAACTACCGTGCCCAGCCTGCACTGCTTTTAATGACTACAAATTTCCTTAGTATGAGGGTCTGGAATTTAACTATTTTGCTCTTGCTGAACTTCTAGTGATATTCCTACTACTCTCCCACTTTTGCCATTTGTATGGGTAATCCAGTAACATTGGTATGCAAAAATTTCTGCCAATGTTTCTGTAGAAGAGATTCTTCAAGCTATTTTGATTCATAAGGAATTAACATTTTAACATTATTAAAAATCTTTTAATAGAAACTGCCAAGTTGCCTTCAAGCATGGATAATTTATACTCCTCCTAACAGAATAATGACAATACCTATTTCGTTCCATTCTCACCTGGGTCATATTTTAGCAAAATACATCCAATAGAAGGAGTTGGACAATGTGACTTTGGAAAAATAAGAAAACTTTAGCATTGCTTCTAAAAGCTTGGAAACTCTTATAATGTTTCTCTTAATATTCAGGTTCCAATTCCAATAATGTCATTTGTTTCTTTGTCTAGATTTTCTATGCAGTTCATGCTTTTCAAGCACGGAGTGACCATGAACTCAGCCTTCAGGAATATCAGAGAGTTCATATACTTAGGTTTTGTGACCTAAGTGGCAATAAAGAGTGGTGGTTAGCTGAAGCTCAAGGGCAGAAAGGATATGTGCCCGCTAACTACCTTGGAAAGATGACTTATGCTTAAGAAAATAAGACTTCGACTTTTATTTTCCAGCAAGTTATTGATTGACTACCTCATAAAACTGACATTACAAAACTTTGGACCAGAAAGCAAGAAACCTCCAAACTACAGAAACTGATACTCTACTGGGTTTTCAGGAATACTGTACTTCCTAACAGGGTTATTGCAAGAATGTATTATAAAGGATACATGTTGAAAGAAATACTAAGCCAACAGAAATAGCAAAGCAAATGACCCAAGCTTCAACTATCGACTACTTAAAAGTGAAGATCTTTTGAAAGAGTAATTATATCCTTCTATCATCAAGAAAGGTTGGATCCAAAGGTTTTTCAATTTACTTTTTTTTTTTACTGTATGATGTATTTTGCCTCAAATGTTTTTGTTTTTCATATTGCTCTCTTGCAAATGCATACATGTTCATATACATACATATAAACCATATATATCATGTAGCTTTATACACATATGTGGATATGAATTACACATCTATATGTGTAAACCAGAGTATACATCAAATATACATAATAGGAATATATCACCAACTAGAAGTCTTTGATAATGTATTTTGTTAATATTTTGTTTATATGTTTTGAACTAAAAGAAAACTGAATAACTTGATATTAACATATAACATTACTAAATGCATACTATATGCCAGACATTGTTCTAAGTGCTTTATATGTAGCAACTTGTTTAATACTCAAAACATTATGAAGAAACCATAGTCCAAAAGGGTAAAGTAATTTAATCCAAATCACATTGCTAGTAAGTGGTGGGCCTGGACTTAAACTTAGGTAGTATAAATAAAAAATAAAACTTAAGGCTTCCAACCATCTAAATAGACCTCCCCCTCAGCCAGGGCTCTTTTTTTTTTTTTTTTTTTTTTTTTTTTATTCAAAGGTATAACTGGATAAGTAGATGTGTTTACAACCATTCTTGTGAAATACATTTTTATAAAAATACTATCAACTTCTTTGCTAATAGCAGACACATACCTCAACTATGATGACCTAATTTTGGTGGATAATGTACATGATTAGGTAGAAATAGGCAAGCTCACACTGGTAGATTAACTGTCAAATACTCAGTTAAAACTCCGTTTGTGGCCCCCACTTCTTGATCGATTTCTATTCCACTTTGTCTTCTACCACCTTGTCAACTTCCTGAGTGACGCCCTCAGACTGACCACCTGACCCACATGACCAGCCTCTCCTCTGTCTGGAATTAGAAGATGTTTCCATCATAATATTCTTCAACTTCAGATAATTTAGCTGGCACTCAGAGTATCCAGCCGGAATCATGCCACTCTGCCTGTAGCCTTTCTGACTCAGTTGGAGGAATATCAAAGCAAACACCCATATTTCCTTTCAGGAGGCACACTGGTAATCTGAGACACTGCATTACTACTCAGCTTTCTGTTAAGTTCTTTCCAAGCACAGCTGACATCCTGTATTTCCTCTAGACTTTCCAGAGTCATGATCACAAAACCCTTATCAGAGTTGATTAAAGATCATGGTTCAAAGCTTGATACGCCAGAAATGTGGGCCAAAGCTGAAGCCAGTGCATCCATCGCCCCTTTCTCTTCTATCAGTATCTGAGCTGATGGTTGGAAAAAATCAACAGCAGCATAAGAAATGGAAGCCAGAGACCTTACGGCATCCATGCTTTTAAATTTAACTAAATCCATTGTAGAAGGAACACCTACATGTTTAAAAGTAATTCCTGTTTTTTGTTCCACGTATCTTAGTTGACCTCTTTCTCTTGGTTGATAAAAACATATACAAGCCGAGCGCGGTGCCTCACGCCTGTAATCCCAGCACTTTGGGAGGCTGAGGTGGGCGGATCACAAGGTCAGGAGATCGAGACCATCCTGGCTAATATGGTGAAACCCTGTCTCTACTAAAAATACAAAAAATTAGCCGGGCATTGTAGCGGGTGCCTGTAGTCCCAGCTACTCAGAGGCTGAGGCAAGAGAATGGTGTGAACCCAGGGGCAGAGCCTGCAGTTAGCCGAGATCGCGCCACGGCACTCCAGTCCGGGCAACAGAGCAAGACTCCGTCTGAAAAAACAAAAAACAAACAAACAAACAAGAAACCATATACAAACTCCTGTCTGTCCAGCTCTACCTGTGCATCCAGAGAGATGGATATGGATATAGGGCTCAATATCCTGAGGAGGAGAACTTTGAATCACCAGGTCGACTACAGGAATGTCCAAACCACAAGGAGCCACGTTGGTTGCCACCAAAACTTTATAATTACCTCTCTGAAGCCTTGTAGTGTAATTTATCTTTGTGACTGTGCAATGTCCCATGTAAACACAGTGCATTCTGTTTTGTGTGGATTCATGGCCATGTCAGTTACATTCTTCTTGGTCTCACAGAAAATAATAGCCCCCGCTTCAGATCCACTATGGACTTGAAGGACATCTCATTATCATCTATGTTTTATAAAGGAGGAAATTGAGGAACTCACATGGAGGGACTGGGATTTAAAACCAGGTCTTCTGATTTTAAGGCCTTTTCTTTTAGTGTTTTCCCTTTTCTTTTCCTTAAGTCACTAAAATCTATAGTTATATAACCTTACAAAAATCATGATATGCAAAATAGAAAAATGATAGTAACCACATATCTACTAATGGCATTAAAACATTAAAATGTACAATCCTAAAAGCTTACTTGTTAGCACACTTGCTTATCTGTCCATTCATTCATTGAACCAGTATTTATTGAGAGTTACAGTGGGAATACAATGCTGTGAAAGACAAACAAGATCCCTCCCTTCACACCACTTAAATTCTAGTGGGGAAAACATCTGCACATAACAAACTAAATAAAATGATCATAAAATAATAAATGTTATTTATATAAAACTGGCTACTTTCTTTACTGCTCAGTTAAAGGGTCTTGTAGCTCATTTTACGATATGAAAAAAATCAAGGTCTAAAAGCTCCTTGAGACAATTTAAACTCTAATACCAAATATACCTCTATAAAATACCAAACTGAGCTAATACTGTATATGTGTACTTATACATATGTACATAACCTAAATATATGTATGCACATATTATCTATACAAAGAGCCATACTCAGTGAAAGATAAGTTACCTCCTAAACTAAAGTTCCCTCTGAGGTACAATAGAAATTAAAATAATTGCTTCTCTTCTCAACTCTATCTAGCACGTGTTTTCTGTGATGGGATAAATGTTTTCATTTCAAGTGCCAGTGTGTGAACTGTAATAAACATTACTGCTTTCATTTTTTTTGTAGGTACAGAGGTTACGTTAACTGTTATAGTTGCTGAACTGAGTTTTTATGTCAGGTAATTTTGTTTAGTCCAAACTGGTTTTGAACTATAAACAATTATGGATATGTATTTTTTGGTTTCTTTGACCCCGAAGGGAAATTGGGTTTTATGTCAAATTGATGTTTTATCACAATAAATCTGTTTCTCAAAGCAAAAGTCTCTGTAGGATTGAGATAATTCATTATTTACATATGGGGTAATAGACATTTACTGCCTATTGAGATAATGATTGAGATAATGGATTCTCAATCCTGGATTCTAATTTACTACAAATAATTTAGCACCATTATTTAAGAGAGCAGTTTAAAATAATAATCTTTCCTTTAAAAAAAAAAAAAAGACCAAGCTTAATTTTAAAAGCTTTGTGTTTATAGAGATCACCTATCAATATACTTCAGAATAATGCTGTTAGAAAAACCTAGGGATTAAGGAAGACAGTTTGAGATTAGAGATCTGTAGAGTGAAGATTTAGTAGCACACATTAAGGTTGATGGAACAGGCTGTTCACAGTCCTTGTGAATGTGGGAATTTGTTGGATATCCAGTTTTTTTGCTGTGAAAAACTGTTTCTCTGATGCAGAGGGCTGCCTATCTTCTCTCAGAATATACATGTGCAACAATTGCTGGTTAATTTGTTAGCTTGCAAGTAAGACAACAACTCAGACTTTCCACATTTTCTGACTTAACCCATTTATGCCTAGTGTTCCATTATTGCAATCCTCAGCTTGTGGGAGTTATTTATATCCTACTGTTCAAGGTCATCTCCAAGGTCTGATTTTTCATCAAAAAAATTTGCAACCTCTCACATAAACGGGTTAACAATGTACAAAACAATCTCAAGAATTAATCATTATATAGGAGCTTATTGTATACAAAGTTAGCTAAAATTAGGTAAAATACTATAACATTTTGAGCACTAAGTAAGATAGCCTTTTCTTTCATGGTATAGGAAGAAGCCATCAGTGTGTGAACAAGTCATACATTTTTATCTGCAAAGACCCTTGGGAAATGATATTTTTCTCCAAAACTTATCAGGAATGTGCATAACCAGGATGAATCAAAGTTCAACATTTATTATGTACTATGTGCATATATTGCATTGGCAATGTAGGTAAAGTGAGCAACTTGAGAAAAAATACTGTATTAAACACCAAGAGAGTTCACAATTTATTGGAAAAAGATGTATCCTTCAATAACTGAAATGAGGTGATAAAAAAAGGTAAAGATACAATATGAAGTATGATAAATCAATTAGGAAAATCCATTGATATGAGAAATCAATAATGAAAAATAATTTTAAAAAAGATGAAATAATTGGGAGGGAAAGGGAGAGTCAGTTGAAATGGGGCTAGCACAGAAAATGAACACCCAGAATACGGGTAGGAAAATAGAAAAACTATATTGGGTCATCCCTGCCACCACATAAGGCACCTCATTCATCAGGATCAACTCTTGGGGCTTTGCTAGAAGACGAACTAATTCTTTTTCCTTAAATTCACAGATGCTATCAATCTTCTGAAGTTCTCATCGAGAACCAGTCATTCTAATCATTGTTTTCACAGACTATGGAAATCATTAAAATAAAAATGTTGAAGACTGATTTAAAATAAACATTTCCAAGTTTTGTTATATATATTTAGCATTTTAAGGCAAGAAACAATAGAAATTTGATTATGAAGACTTTTATTAAATTACAGTATATTACAGATATCTTAATAATAAGCCTTTCATCTTTAGGCTAATATGATATAAAAACCTACTTGGCCACATTACTTCTTGAGTTTCTTTTGGGCAGCTTTCTTCTTGACCATCTGTAATCGCTTCATAGCATTGAGCTGTGATTCTTGCGAAGTTGGACCTTTAAGGGATGCTGAGGGAGAGCTGCTGGATTCTGAAGTAGTTTTGCTAGTAGTACTTCCACTAGGTCCTGATGTTCCAGTATTTCCATTCCCACTTAGTTGGCTGCTGTTTCCTGGAACTAAACTACTTGGACTAGGAAGACCTACTTTGCTGACATTGTCACAACTAACTGAGCGACTAAGGCCAGTTTTACCCAAGGTTAGAGGTGGAGGTGGTTTTAATGGTACAGTGGGCGTAGTGCTGTTATTGGAACCTATTTTGGAACCTATTCCACCTTTGGATGATGTTGCCAGACCAGTCAAACCCACAGGTTTCTGGTTAGCTGATGAGGTAGCAGGTTTCCCAGTACTGTTTTGTGTTGTTGAACTCAATTTTGCTGTTGAGGGACCAGCAGAGGAAGTTTTGGCTGCAAAAGCTGCCCATCCAGTTAAGCCACTAGTTACTGACGAGGAAACGCTGGCACTAGAAGAATTTCCTGAAATAACTGTGGATGTCTAAAAAAATAAGGTAAATATTACATTAGAGCCAAGTATAATCAATACCTATATAAACATCCTTGAATATACAAAAACTCATTAGACTTTTTATATCTAAGTTATGAATTGGGAAATTTAAATCACACCACCAAATTAGGTTCTTATGAAGCAGATCTGAAAAACCACACAGAACAAAACTTATCTGTATCTAGCGGATATTATCATTTCCAAAACAGAAAATTTTTGATACCATATTCTTGTTCTAATGATTCCAAAAGAAAATATATGAAATTCCCTCTTGAGAATTGCTTTTAGATTCAATTCTAAGCTATATCTGAAAACCAGATTTAGTGCTTTAATATACTTTTTACCCAACAAAGTATTATCTAGCTTAATTAAACATCTAATTATTTTAGACTTTGCTCCAAATAACTAGGGATCATTTCAAAAATTTAATTCACCCTTAAGGGGCAAAAATGCCCATACCCAGAATATTCAGGAGAACATATCCAAGATGAAGAGATTCAGTCAATGTTTATTTACTGAGTGACTGTGTGAGAGAAAGAAGACAGCTGTATAGATTCTAAACCCATTTAAAAAAATGTTCTCCTAAATTTTGAGCAACAGTTACAGGAGTACAAAATATATGAAAAGTTAATTACTTGGAAGTGTACAACTTGCATGATGTATTAAAAAGGTCTCATGATTTTAGTTTCACAATTTGCCCATGATTCCAGTTAAACTATCATACAAAAGTCTCCTGCTCCTTTAATAAGGATTTTATCAATTGCCTCATTAGGCTGCACAGTGACATTTTCGGTAGGACTGATCTCACTCTCTGATATATTTAATAAAGGTATAACCCTTCAACTTTTCTGATTAACTTCCCTGGCTAATCAGAAGCTCACAATGATACCAATGCCACTATATAAACACATATTGCTCTTGTTCACACAAGAATATATTTTTTCACTTTCACATTAGGCACAAATGTACGTAGTTCAAATTAATTTTGAATTGAACTTCTTATTGACACCTTTTCTACCTTTACACTCTTAAGAAGATTCACAAAAGTGTTAAGTTCATATATAGATAAGAGATAAAATTTTACAAAATAATATCCTACTTAAAAAATGGTAGTTATACCTAAAATATATCCAGTTATAATTTAGAACTTTGCTCTGAAATAGTTGATGAAACATTTTGAGCTCTTGAAATCAAGGTAGCCTTCAATATTGTCTGCATGCATACATTTTTAATCAATGTGAAAAGTAACAAAAATAGAGTTCTGAGATCTTTGTTTTATAAGAGAAGGAATCCAGATATTTGTCCATATACTCTGAAAATTGATAGGATGTTTTCTTACAGTAATATATTAATTATCTTACGAAGTTATCCAGAGAAAAACTACATAAACCATACATTCCTAGAGGAATATATACCAGCAATGAGAGAAAAAGTTAGTCAAGAAGTAAACATTTACTTTTCAGTTATGAAACACCTAACTTTTTTTTTTCCTTTTCTTGCTATTAAAGATAAAACTGTCTGCCATATGGTTAAATGATCTTTCAACAAACTTCACAAAGGAAAACCCATCTTTAGTAATTACAAGACCAACACTTAGGAAGTACAAGCAAGAAAGCAAGTTCTATGTGTCTGGCATTTCATTTTAATGACTTGCTGTTGCTTAGTATTACTTTTCAACAGGATGACAGATGGTTTATAATACTATCAGGACACATAAGAGTAATATAACACAAACAATGGAGACCAAGTGATTTCTTACTATTTCAGCATAGAAAACAAATTTCTCAAGTTTTTAACTATAAATATTTTTTTGCCTATTTGCTAGATGGGCAAGTTAGAAAAGACATTTGCTTTTTATATGTGAATGGGAACAATTTTTTTATGGTATAAATTTATTCACTTTTATAAAAAGTGAATTTTTTATTAAAAAACACAAAACCTCTTTATCAAAACAAATATAACAGCAAAGGCTTTAATTTGTTTGCCATAAAATGATTTCATGTTAAATTTTCTAAAAATAAACTTTAGTAGTAACAGATTAGTCTAAAAATCTCCTAAAAAGTGATTATGTGCAGAATACAGCAACTCTAATTACTTTCAATAAACTGGTCATTCTTTCTTCTATTCCAATTCACCAAGTTCCTATATGACAAATCAATAATGGATATGCCTTGGATAGCAAATCTTCCCGGGCAAATTAAAATGAAAAATAACCTCCAAATATAATTATCAATAAGTTTTTAAAAGTACTTTATATTCATAATCTTTTTCATCATATCAAGGGTATTAAGCTTACTATTTACAGTCACTTAGATAAGGTAATAACTTTAGAGTTTTCTCAGGTCAATCTTTGAGAATTTGAGGCTAATATTTTTTTCTTACATGTTTAGTGCTATGCTTAACATTGGAATGTGTACCTCAGTAGAAGTCTTCTTTTTGTTATAAAATTAGATTAGAAAATTATTTTTTCATGATATAAAAATGCCAAGATAATAAGAATAATGTAGTATGATTTCAAGGATGCAACCTTAGGAATGAGAAAGGTGATACTCTCTCTAGACAATGTGGTCCCTTGGTATAAGGGACTGAAAGTTTATTATAAAGAAACAAAACAAGACAAAGCAAGAAAAATCCTTCAATAGCCAATAAGAAGGGAGAAAAAAAAATTACAAGACCACTCTGCTCAAGTAGTGTGGGGGGCAAAACTGTTGCTACTGAGGGCAGAGGTATTTTGAATTTAAACCAGATTTTTTTTTTTTTTTTTTTTTGAGTCAGAGTTTCGCTCTTGTCACCCAGGCTGGAGTGCAATGGCACTATCTCAGCTCACTGCAACCCCTGCTTCAGGGGTTCAAGCAATTCTTCTGCCTTAGCCTCCCAAGTAGCTGATTACATGCACCCGCCACCATGCCTGGGAATTACAGGTGCCCACCATCACGCCTTGCTAATTTTTGTATTTTTAGTAGACACGAGGTTTCACCATGTTGGCCAGGCTGGTCTCGAACTCCTGACCTCAGGTGATCCACCCGCCTTGGCCTCCCCAAGTGCTGGGACTACAGGCATGAGTCATGGCACCTAGCCTGAATTTAAACCAGATTTCTGATTGGAGATAAGTATTGAACCAGATGAGAATGGTAAAGAATATCATTTTGGAATGATCATAGACTGCTCCTATTTGTGATAAAAAGAAAAACAGCAGAGTTAGAGATTAATTAATGATATAAATGTTCCCTTTCTACCTAATATAATAGTAGTAAAGTCTTAATTTCTAAAATATAGCCATTTAGTATATAAAGTTTCTCATTAAATTTTTTATCAGGCAACTATTGTTTAGTTAACTAAACTTTAAGATATAATCTTAGATAAAAATAGAATCTACTATACCTTGACTTCTGTTCTCTTAAATGCTAGAAAAGTTGTCTCTTGTTTCAGTTTAGTTTCTGGTTTCTTAACCAATGGATCTTTGACAGCTGGAGTTACAGAAACAACTGCAGGGGCTGGTTTCTGTGGTGGTTTCTGAGTTTTTTGAGCCTGCAAAAATCAGTGGATTAAATCAGATACAAACTCTTAACTGAACATACAAAAAGATAATAATCTCTCACAGGACTCATCATTGAAATTAAATACAGTTGAACATTTAAAAAAGTACTGTGATGATAATGAATATATATGCTCTTTGACAAATTATTTTTATCATCATATTAATGGTTTTACAGATTGTGTTAGTTTCTAAACAGTAAAGATAATATTAAGCTTTAGAAATAATACAGAATAGGGTTAAATAACATTTTAACAAGATAAAATTGTTTTTTAAAAAGAAAAATCACAAACTATATGTAAGCATTAGCTTTACTCATGATGAAGTACATTTATTTCTCATTGGGGTTGGTCAAATATGTAGGAGTTTTCTTCTTGGGGTCTAGGCATAAGTCTCTCATTTGCTGAGGGCAAATTAAAACACAGCTCAGATCATTTATAAGGTTTTACATGAAGAATAGGGAGAAAAAAAACTATTGATAAATGATGAAACTTTTTGAGGTTTTTCCACATTGCAAAACTAGGCACGCTAAATCTTTAGAGAAAGTTCATAAATACAAATTTCTACGTTATCAAAGAATTTTCACCCACTATTACTTTATAAGCATCTTCAGTTATATTTTGACCAATAATTGATTTTTTCCTTTATTTTATAACTAGGCACTTTACTAAATTTTCCTATAAACTCTAATCATTTTTGAGTTTATTTTTTAGTGTTTTCTAGGTAGATAATTGTAACTGTTTATAAATGGTTATGTGCAGTAATATTAAGAGTAATTTTCGGAGTCAAACAGAGCTAGGATTAAAACCCAGCAACTGGCCGGGTGCAGTGGCTCACGCCTGTAATCCTAGCACTTTGGGAGGCTGAGGCGGGTGGTTCATTTGAGGTCAGGAGTTTGACACCAGTCTGGCCCACATGGTGAAACCCTGTCTCTACTAAAAATATAAAAATTAGCTGGGCATGGTGGTGAGCACCTGTAATCCCAGCTACTTGGGAGGCTGAGGCAGGAGAATGGCTTGAACCCATTAATTGGAGGTTGCAGTGAGCTGAGATCACACCATTGCACTCCAGCCTGCAGAACAAGAGCAAAATTCCATCTCAAAAAACAACAGAAAAAAACCCAGCAACTATTTTTGTAGGTACATTATCTCAGGCAAAACATGTGAATCTCTAAAAGCCTCATTCTCTTCATCTGTAAAATGGTAATAGCATTTGTTTCAAAGGTGGGTTATGAGGATGAATTATGATTATGTAAGAGTTTAGCACAGTATCTGGAATATGCTGAGTGCTAACAAAAAGTTACTGTTTATTCATCATTATTATTTAAAAAGGATAATCAAACTGAATCCAGAAAAATCCATGCATACTGAACGGGGAAAGATGCTTCCCACCAGCCATTCCATAGTCTTTGCTAATCTTCATAAGTCTATACAGTACTGTACTAGACAATTTATTAACAATTTGTCACCATTTCTGGAAACCAGAACTTGGTCTATTTTGCTCTTGTTTGGGTCTTCTTGTGTAATTCTGTGCTACCGTTTGCCATACTATATAGTTTTGGTCCTTAAATCTCAATTCGTATCACTTTTTATACACATACCTTCCACATCAAAGTACACCTACCTTCAATACCACTTATAAACCAAAAATCAGATCAAGAATATTAAGAATGTTCAAAGTAATTCACTGTTGATTACTGGTACTAGCAGGAAAGGACAGCCATCTTATCCTTTATTGCAAAACCATGTTACGAGAATGCATCCCTCACAGTAAAACAGAAACATACGGCTCCAAAACCATGGCTTTTGATCTTAATACTGCATTCCACCCACATCTAGCACTCCTGAGGTTAGACTCTGAGGACCCACCTAACTTGTATGTTTTAACAGATAAAGACTAATTATGATGAAGCCCCAGGAAGTACTTCTGCCTGAGATCATGTTTGGATCTTCTGCCTTCCCTGTTTTATCCAGCCATCTTAGAAACTGAGTAAAAAATCCTTTGTCCTTCACTGGTAATACCAGTTTAGGGAACTAGGATATAATTACTGATTCAGTTTTGTTCAATAAAGGAACTAAAAGTTTCATTGAGTGACTGCTTCAAACACTGCAAAATGTATAAAATTCTCCACTAAGGCACTAACTGCCAAAATGGCAGCACTAAAAACCCCATATATTTCTAAATGCTGTGAAACAGGAGTGTATTACTACCTTAGATTGAGAACCACTGCAAAAGTGATATGAGTCTCTCACCTGAAGCTGGGGAAAAACCCACTACTGGGTAGAGAGAAAATTATAGAACTGAAGAATAACCTTGGACCCTGCCACACACGATCATAACATTCTTAACTAGGTCTTCCTACAACAATATGTACTGCAGAACTTGCCCCAGTTTGAGGAATCTGTGCGAAGAGAAAGGGGATATCAGGTGCTATTTATAATATCTTTGAGATACCTTGGAACACCAACCAATGCACATATGAGAATCTCACTGAAAGCAATTATAGTTAGAATGACTCAATTTAGAATCCCCACTGTTTCAAAATTATCTCATTAAACCTTACATTTCCTGGATTCTGATCTTTAGGCTCACTTCAGATAATGTCTTTTGGTATTTCCCCACATTTACTCTTGGTGTATTCTAGTCATGTTTTAATACTAGCCATGACTCCCCATTTAGTACTTTGACTTTTGGACACACAGACCAGATTCACTGTTGATTTCTGGTACTAATCTGCATTTAGCTTGACATGGTGGCTCATGCCTATAATCCCAGAACTTTGGGAGACTCCATCTCTACAAAAAATAAAGAAAATTAGCTAGGCCTGGTGGCACATGCCTGTAGTCCCAGCTACTTGGGAGACTGAGGTGGGAGGATTGCTTGAGCCTGGGAGGTCGAGGCTGCAGCGAGCCATGGTCACGCTACTGCACTCCAGCCTAGACACCAGAGTGAGACCCTGTCTCAAAAAAAAAAAAAAAAAAAAATTATATTTGCTTCATTTTATTTAACTTAAGAACAACAGAATGTAGAATGTGTCAGTCTTGAGCTCCATTTAAGTGCTATGCCAATGAATTACATGATCTTACTGATAAATTAGATATTATTTGCAAAGCAGATAAAAGAATAAACAGTATCCCAGATGAAGAAGCTGAGAAGCAGAACACGAAAGTTCTCCACATATTCAGGTAATTACACACTTCGTCTGTGTCAGAGTGGCCAGAGTGTATGAATGTGTATGGTGAAGCAGTGAGAGAAGGGGCTGTAAGGTAGAGTCGGGTCAAAAAGAGAAGGTCCATATATGCATCCTAATGAGTATAACCTCATTATATAAGTAATTGAGAGCCACTGGGCATATATAAGCAGATAAATATTTTAGAAGAATTCTAATGACAGTAATCAAAGTGGATTGATGGGAAGCAAGGAGATTTCTTAAGTGGTTATTGCAATAGACAAGTAATGCATTTGTGGAACAGGGTAATAAAAGAGAAATGAATAGATTTCAGAGACATATAAGAGGGAGAATTAACAAATCTGGTAAACAAAGGGATATGAATTAAGAGAGGCATCAAAGATGTTTTCTAATTCAGGCAACTGCAGAAAAAAAAACTGGATAATAGAACAACTTTTATTTTTAAATATATTGAACTTAAAGTATCTATAGACTATCTAGTTAGCTATAGAAGCTTACCCAGGAAGAGGGTTAGAACCATAAACATAGATTTGACATAAAATAAATCCCCAAAAAATGGAGGAGAAAAAACTTGGGGGAAGAACAGTGCTTACTTTAGATATTAAGGGAGCTAAAGTGATAATAATAATGAAACAGTTGAGTACATACTAAAGAAAGACAGATTATTGTCACAATTTGTTCTTTTGACAATTTCCAATTCTTAGTGGTTTCTTATCAATGCTCTGGAATGCATTGCTCATCTATAATAATTTCACTTTAGATCCTGGAGGGCTAGTTTAAAGAATAAATTAAATAAAAATCAAACTGAGCAGAACAGATTGTAACTTATCACAGAAATTTCCTGTTACAAGTAAGAAATATACACTATTGATATCCACACTTTTCATTTACTACTTTTTATTTCATAGGAATAAAAACACTTCCTATTTCTGATTTAACTGATTAAAAAGTAAAATGGTATCTCGAATTTTTACTTTTAACTAAGTACTTCTGACCTTTAAAGATATATTGGTTAGACAAATTTATGTAGAAATTCATTTGATTAACAGACATGAGAACTCTGCAATTGAGAATCACTAATTTAAGGCAGGGGAAGAGAGATGGAAGTGTGAGGGAGAGGTAGCGAGTAAGACATTATGGCAATTTCTTGTTTTCTTTAAAAGAAAAATTATGAAATTCATTTATCATTTATCTATTTTATAAGTGAATAAAAGTTAGAAAACTATCCAATATAACAAATGAAAATGTATTTCACTATGATATTAAAGGCAGGTATGTTAGTGAACAGTAAAAAGAGAAAGTATGTTGGAAGAATGAGGTAATGGTCACTTGAGGATAATGAGAAGGAAAGACTAAGCAATAGAGAAATGCAGCTGGAAAGACGGATATGCACATATAAATATCGCCTCTGTACACATCTTATTCATTTGGTGGTTTAAGCTCACTCAGGAATTTTCTATATTTCCTTACCAGACCTCAACAAAGAGTGGCGCTTTGTATCTCACCAATTCTCAGTGCTGCATGGTATATTAAAATGTTTATAAATACACTGACAGACTAGTAAGGAATATTCATAATTTGTGTGTCACCAATCTTGTTTGTTTATCTATATTAGAAGTAGATAAAACTAAACAGAGAAAAATGCACATAACGTGGTCTGGTTTTTAGCCATAGAAATATTAATCACATATATATACTATACATATAAACATTTAAATAATCAGCTTATATTATTTATTTTTTCAATATCTTAAATGTTCAAATCTTTGTTTTGAAAGCACATACCAACAGAAACATTGACAGACTGTTTAAAATAAATAAAAATACGATTCCTACCATTCTTTTCATTTGTCTGGTACATCGGGCACAGTACCACACCAGGCGAGGGTCATTCGCTTCCTTGTCTGTCACCTGGGGTTTATGGCAATCTCGGTGGTAGAGATTATGGCACTCCTGACATTCTACTAATTGATTGCCAGATGCCACCATCATTTGCCTAAGAAAACACACCATTAAGCATTACACTACTTTTTTAATGCAATAATTTAAAGTTGTTTCAGGGGCCGGGTGTACTGGCTCATGCCTGTAATCCCAGTACTTTGGGAGGCCAAGACAGGCGGATCATTTGAGGTCAGGAGTTCAAGACCAGCCTGGCAGACATGGCGAAATCCTGCCTCTACTAAAAATACAAAAATTAGATGCACATGGTGGTGCACACCTATAATCCCCACTACTCGGGAGGCTGAGGCAGGAGAATGGTTTGAACCCCAGAGATGGAAGCTGCAGTGAGCCAAGATCACACCACTGCACTCCAGCCTTGGTGACAGAGTAAGACTGTCTCAAAAAAAAAAAAAAAAATGTTATTTCAGGGTTGTTCTAGTAAAGTTTGGTTTATTAATAAGAAAAAAAATCCCAGAAACCCAAAGATCAAAATAACAAACTCCAACACACAGCATGCACAAAAGCATAAGCTTTTAAAGCTTATGGTCAACCATTAATAAATACATGGAATGCCATGATTAAATTTGGCTATTTTCTCCTTGTCATTTCTCATCATAATTTTTGTCTTTCTCTCGGAAGGTAGTAGACTCTGATTAGTCTTCCAACAGTCTCATAACATTTTGTATCTCTATTAAATTCCCTTATATTAGTTAGCTATATGTTGTTGTTGTTCTTCATTAATATGAGTTACCTAAAGGTGAGAACTGGACCTAACTATTCACAGTCCTTAGCACGTTACTGCACACACATAGGGTGCTCAATGAATGTCTGATCAGATTAATAGAATGAAGCCATATGTGTATAAAAAAGTATAAATTCCAACAGCACAAAAAGCAGTCACCATAGCCTTAGATTATCATAGGCATATATATCATAATATAATAATCACTTTCCCTCTGGAACCCAAAAATGCAGAAAATGTTACAACATAATGGATTTAAAAGCCATAGTTGGGAAAGACAAAATATTTGACAATTTTCAATATGTTAAATTGTTATATGGGCAGTTCATAAGACATCTACTTATCTCCACCCCAGTTCCAAATCGTAAAAACAAAATAGAAAATGCACAATTGTTCTGATTTTGGGGGTTGAGGAGTGAAAAGGGGTCCTGTGTTCTTCATAAAGTAACAAAATAATCTGTGACAAGGGACAACTTACCTACAAACAACGCAGGCCAATCCCATCTCCATGGCAAAATCGTCAGCACTGGTCTCCTCAAAACTGGAAAGGTCAGCCATAGCTAAATCCTTGCTAGTTTGGACAGTAATGGGAGAGGACTGTGTTTCTGGTTTCTCCAATCTAGGTTTCTTTGGAATATCAACTCCTTCAGTGATGTCTGATTTCATCTATAAAAAGCAGGCATCAGAAAATGATAAAGTGATGTGGTAGAATAAACTTTAAGTCACTGAAAGATGAATAAAAAGGACAATAGGCAATGATCAAGTCCATTTTACAGATATATTCACATAGTTTGGGACATATGTGCACATTAACGATCTGTAGAAGAATTATAACGAATTTATCGGTACATTAAATGAAACCAGCAAGACAGAAATAAATAAATCAGAATAGTTTAACAAAGATTTGTATTTCTCTTTGTACTCTTCTATCTATTAAAGATTTCTGGAAGTTCGATGGATTTACTTAGACTAGTATCTACTGTACAGACTTAACACATATTTGCTTCAAAGCAAATTCCGATTCCCTTCTTTAAGATATAAATATTATCAATATACCCATTAGATTTGGCAAAAATCAAAAAGTCTGATAAGACATGGAATTTGGAATTCTTGTACTTTGTTGATGACAGTGTACATTTAGTACATCTACTTTTGATAACAATTTGGCAATGCCTAGCAATGTTGAAGATGTCATATCCTATTACATTCACTTATAGGTATACATCCTATAGAAACTATTAACATGACATTTGTATAAAGTAGCTCACTTCAACTCCATTGTAATAGAAACAAAGAAGAAATATCTAACTGTGCATCAGTAGGGGAATGATAAGCTGGTTAATTCACAGAGTATTATGTAGTAGTTAAAAGAAATCTAGATCTACATGCATCAACATAGATACATTTCAAAAGCACATAGTTGAGTGGAGAAAAAGTTACCAAAGGATATACACACACAGAGTATGATATCATTTACATAATTTTTTTTTTTTTTTTTTTTTTTTTTTGAGACAGAGTCTTGTTGTGTTGCCCAGGCTGGAGTGCAGGGGCACAAACTCTGCTCACTGTAACCTCCGTCTCCTGGGTTCAAGTGATTCTCATGTCTCAGTCTCCCGATCTGCTGGAACTACAGGTGTGCGCCACTACACCTGGCTAATTTTTGTATTTTAAGTAGAGATGGTGTTTTGCCATGTTGGCCAGGCTGGCCAACTGCCAACCTGCTGACCTCAAGTGATCCTCCTGCCTCAAACTCCCAAAGTGCTGGGATTACAGGCATGAGCCACCACGCCCAGCCTCATTTATGTAGATCTAAAAGCAGAGAAATAATCTAACGCAGTTTATGAATAGCCACTATTTAGCAAAAGTATGAAAACATACAGGATAATATACTCCATCTTGAGGGCAAAGGTTACTGAAGATATCGTTCAAATGTATTTTTTTCTAACTAAAATCTTAATTACTATATGTAGAAATCATCTAAAAATAGACAATCCAAGAATCATCCGTGGCCCTGCTCAGGTGCATACCATTCTATAAAGTTTATGTTTAGTCATTTACATCTATACTCTCCTATCTTTTCTTTCTTGCTTGCTTTCTTTTTTACTTGAGACAGAACCTCACTCTGTCACCCAGGCTGGAGTGCAGTGGCATGGTCTCCGCTCACTGCAATCTTTGCCTTCTGGACTCAAGCAATTCTTCCATCCCCTACCCGCCCAGAAATAGTTGGGACTAGAGGTAATTGCCACCATGCCCAGATGATTTTTCTATTTTTTGTAGAGATGGGATTTCACCATGTTGCTCAGGCTGATCTTAAACTCCTGAGCTCAAGCAATCTACTTGCCTTGGCCTCTCAAAGTGTATCTATCTTTTCTTCTTAACAACTGTACCATCTAGGACCTCTGAGGCATAGATAAAAGTTTATACTCAAAATTACTATACTCCCTAGGGTTCAAATATTTATTGACAATAGCTTTTAACCATTTAACTTTAAAATTTGTAAATTTTACTCATTTTTCAAAGTCAAAATCTATAGCTATCAATACATATTCACTGAGTGATGATTATTATATACCTATACTCATTATTATATAAAAGAAATAGACATAAACCATTATTCCTTTCTGCTTATGGAACAACTAATTTACCTTTTTTCTTTTAACAAGACTAAAATAAAATCTTACTTTATCAGCAGGTCTCTTTTCGGCTTCTTTCTTTACCTTTTCAGTTGTGAGGACCTTGCCATTATTATTACCAGAAGGAAGACTGGATGATATTTTGGGCTCTTGCTTAATGGAAATGTTTTTTGTGCTTGAAATTTTGGGTGGCTCCACATCCTAAAAGATGAAAAAAGGTACCAGTAATTAAATATTCAGACTGATCATCATAAAAAATAGATCATTAATCTAAACAATTTTCATTTAAAACTAAGACATCTCATTATAACCAATGTAATATTCCTTTCTTAAATAGATAAATAGCTTTATTGAGAAATAATTGATATACAAACTGTACCTTTATTTATTTATTTTTTTGGGGGGGTATGGAGTCTCACTCTGTTGCCCAGGCTGGAGTGGAGTGCTGTGGGACAGTCTTGGCTCACAGCAACCTCTGCCTCCTGGGTTCAAGTGATTCTCCTGCCTCAGCCTCCCGAGTATCTGGGACTACAGGTGCACCACCACACCCAGCTAGTTTTTGTAGTTTTAGTAAAGATGGCGTTTCACCATGTTGGCCACGCTGGTCTCAAACTCCTCGCCACAAATGATCCACCCACCTCGGCCTCCCAAAGTGCTGGGATTACAGACATGAACCACCACACCCGGCCCAAACTACACCTACTTAAAGTGTAACATTTGATAAATTTTGACATATGTATACATCTATGACACCATCACCACAATCAACATAATGAACAGATCCATCATCCCCCCAAATCTCCTTGTGGCCCTTTGTAATTACCCTCTTACAGGTATACACACTAGAGAAATTATGTCTCCCATCCTCAAGCAATCATTTATCTGTTTTCTGTAACATTACATTAGTTTGCATTTCCTAGAAATTTATATAAATGGAATCATAGAGTATGTATTCTTTTTTGGTCTGGCTTCTTTTACTCAGAATATTTATTTTGAGATTCATCCATGTTGTTAAGTGTATCAATAGTTCATTCCTGGTCGGACGCGGTGGCTCAAGCCTGTAATCCCAGCACTTTGGGAGGCCAAGACGGGCGGATCACGAGGTCAGGAGATCGAGACCATCCTGGCTAACACAGTGAAACCCCGTCACTACAAAAAAAAAATACAAAAAACTAGCCGGGCGAGGTGGTGGGTGCCTGTAGTCCCAGCTACTTGGGAGGCTGAGGCAGGAGAATGGCGTAAACCCGGGAGGCGGAGCTTGCAGTGAGCTGAGATCCGGCCACTGCACTCCAGCCTGGGCGACAGAGCGAGACACTGTCTCAACAACAACAACAGCAACAACAACAACAACAAAAAACAGTTCATTCCTTTTTATTGCTGAATAATACTCCATTGAATGAATATACCACAATTTATCTATCAATTTACCTATTGATGGATATTTGGGTTGTCTGCAGTTTGGGACTACTACAAATAAAGCTGTTATGAATATTCATGTACAAGTATTTGTACATACCTATGTTTTTACTTTTCTAGAATAAATAGGAGTGGGTTATATGGTAAGTATTAAATATATGCTTAATTTCTTAAGAAACTGCCAAACTCTGTGGCAGGACCATTTTATATTTCCACCAAGCATATATAAGAGTTCCAGCTCCTTTCCATCCTCACCAATAATTTGTATGGCTAGTCTTTTTAAATTGTAGACATTCTAATAGGTATGCAGTGGTATCTCATTTAGATTTAATTTACATTTTCCCAATAACTAATGATGCTGACCAGTTTTTCAAGTGCTCATTTGGCATACATATATCTTCTTTGGTAAACTATTTGATAAAATATTTTGCCCATTTAAAAAAATGAATGTTTCATTATTGAGTTTAAAGAATTCATCACAGATTTTGGGCACAAGACCTTTATCAGAGATACGATATGAAAATATTTTCTCTCAGTCTGTGGCCTGTCTTTCCGTTCTGTTTAAAACTTCGATCCCTTATTCATGTATTATAGCTTTGCTGATACAGATAACTTATTTATTGTTACTAATAGTAACAGCTCCTTGGAATTTCCCCTCCCCAGAAAGGAGGGCACTCCCCCACCATTCTAAATAAAACTAAAGCAGCTGAGTGCAGTCTATTTTACTGTGATAATATGTAAAAGTACAAAAGTATAAATGGGGATAATACACATCAATTTCAGAAGAGTGTCTACCTCTGAGGAGCAAGAGAAGAAAAAGGAAGGAGGAATGGCTCCTCAGATCTAGTGGTGGCAGGGCTTGATATATTATTATGCTGACTGCTTAAAACTGAGGCCTATAAATAGTTTTTTATAAACAGTTTATATTAGAACGCAGCCACACCCATTCATTTATGTATAATGTATGGCTGCTTTCACATTACCATGGCAGAATTAAATAGTTGCAATGGAGACCATCTGGCACACAAAATCTAGAATTCTTACTGTTTGGCTGTTTATAAAATCTGTTGACCACTGGTGTAGACTTAGTCAAGTGTTGAAGAAAATGTTAATAATGCAGATTAAACTTAAAAGTGTATGGTGGGCCAGGTGTGGTGACTCATGCCTGTAATCCCAGCACTTTGGGAAGCCAAGGTGGGCAGACTGCTTGAGTCCAGGAGTTTGAGACCAGCCTGGGCAACATGGCAAAACTCTGTCTCCACAAAATATAAAAAAATTAGCCGAGCATGGTGGCACGCACCTGTAGTCTTAGCTACTCAAGAGGTTGAAGTGGGAGGACTGCTTGAACCTGGGAGGGAGAGAGCGCTGTGAGCCAAGACTGTGCCATTGCACTCCAGCCTCGGTAACACAGTGAGATCCTGTCTCAATAAAAAACCAAAAAACATGTATTGTGTGTAACTAAAAAATTGAGGACAAAGTCATGCAGTATTAAACTATTACCTATTCAGCAAAAAAGTTGTTCTAGTTGTTGACAGATGAGTTAAGTTTTAACTGCATTATTTCACATTTGCCTTCCTCATTAATGTAAATGAATATCAACCAATATTCATGTTAGAATACACTTGGAGACCTGGTAATGTTTATAAGCATACCACTGCCTCCAGGTGATTATTATCCATGCTAAAGTTTGAGAAACACTGGCATAAATCACTCTTCTCACATAAATCTAGTGATGAAAATATTCAGCTGAAGGCTAAAATTAAATGGACCTGGGCTTTAAAAACCTGTAAAAAAGAGTTTCTGAAAACTGACCAAGAGAAGTAAACTCTAGCTAGAAACCTAAGGGCAGCATGCTTTTTAATCACAACAAATTTTTCACGTTTTTTAAGAGATAAACTTCCATTTTAGAACTCCATTAACACATTTTTTTTTTCTTTAGTAATAATAGGTTTTCCTAACTGGACAATACCAACACCCACAGTGGAATGAATTTGGCAGTATGCTTTGTAGAGCCATATTGATTTGCTCGATCTGAACTCACTGAACCTACTGGAATCAGAATAGATAGAAGAAATGAAGTCACAATGGTTCTGTTATTCAAAGTACAATAAAAAGGCTTCAGAGTACTAGATCTAGTATTGAAAGAAGGCTGGGGACAAAATGCCAGTGTTTACTTGAGTTTCAGATTCTGGTGAGACTTGAGCTAGTCATGTTCTATCTTTTCCTTCTCGGTTTGGGATCTAGGTCCACAGACCTGAGTGATTTGGAGTTTCAGGACAACAGCTTAGAAGAATTCGAAAGAATGTCTTAGTAGGTATTAGGGAATATAGTAAGAGTTGTCATTCACTGACAGCCTATTATGTACCAGGCAGATACTACACTAGGTGACTCATTTACTGTATCTCCTTCAATTTTTACAACTCTGCAAAGTAGTTCTTATCATCCCCATTTTACCAATTAACAGACTAAGTGAAATGAAGTTGCTGTGTACCTCAGTTTCCTTACATAAAATGAAGAAAACAGTATCTATCTTAAAGGATCATTATTATAATTAAAATTAATTATTCACATAAACTACTCAGAAAAGTACCTGGGACATCAAGATACATTGTCTATTATCATCACACAATTATAAGATGTAAGTGGGATTTAAAACAGGTATGTTTGGTATCAAAACATATATTCTTTTCACATAAAGTTGCCATTGCCTGTTTTGTTATTATCAAGACAGGAGCTACAAACTTCTCAGAGTTCATCCATACCTCCTTTTCTCTTAAATTATTCTACCCATATTCAATTTATATTGTTGAAAAATCTGTGCTTTTACTTGATTTTTTAAATCCTTAAAACAATAGAGAATAATTAGAAGTAATCTGTGGCTACAATCAGCAGCTTAAAAAAAATTCTGATCATAAAGAATCGGAAATTAAAGTAAGTCGTAAACAAGTGAATTCATATACACATAAAGCAGTAGAACAGAATATCCCACACCCCCAGCTGATTTTTCTATGTGGTGTAACAGTTCTCTGAAAACTTGAAGGAAAAAAAGAAAATATAATTTCTCCGTGCCACAAGGAAAGATTATTTCAGCAGAGATTGTATTGAGATGGTCTATATGTTATCAATGTACTACTACAGGTCTTATAAAACTCTCTTCAAGCTTTTTATTCATGCAGGTACCTTTTGAGATGGACGGTAACTGGAATCAATGCCCCGAGCCAAAGATTCATCAAGCAGTGCTTTTAGCTTTTCAGCAGAATCTTTACTCTTTGAATGTAAGAAACCTAGTGCTTTCAAAAAAATGGGATCAAGTTCCAAGTTCACAGTAGCAGCCATTGCAAACACCTGAAGGAAAAAAAAGAGGACATAATTTAGAAGACAATGCACAATTATCTATGTCAAAGTTTTACTTTTCTGTTTTTAAATTTATAATAGATAATACTGTGTACATGATATAAAATGTAAAATTATCAAAAAGTTATTACAAATAAAAGTAAATTTCCTTCTTATTCCTGACAGGCATTATCTAGTTCCTGCCCCCTGAAACAACTAGCAGTATCAGTTTTCTGTGTATCCATATTGATGGTAATGTTTTAAATCCAGGTAGGCTTCTCCCTGCCACAGAACTCCTTCCTAGCTGTGTTTTAAAAGATACACTTTGCAGTTTCAGTACATAGAACTTGATGGGTTTAGGTCAAGTTTACTCTGTATCAAAATTTCTTCTCTCAAACCTTATTTCCATAACACAAAGGAAGTCTTAGTGTGCATGTGTTTGTGTGTGTAAGGGGTATCACAAGAGGGCAGCGGTGAAAGGGTGCGTTAAGTGATTAGCTGTCATGGTCACTGCTGCCGCTTTTACCTCAACTCCTTTTTTTTTTTTTTTTTAAATTCACCTCTTTAGTTCTCTGCCCCGACCATGAATGTCTCAGAAAACATATTAATGATAACCTTATTTGATCACATTTAGATTGTGGTATCTTATGCATTAACCTATTTTTAAAATTAAGGTCTCTGAGGGATAATACCATAACTACTTAAAACACACATACACAAACACACACACACACACACAGAGTCTATGACGCTTTGTGTCCTAAAGAGCTTAAAAAATAGCCAAGATGGATAAAGATATACATCAAAGGCTTATGAAATTCCACAGTACTAAAAAGTTTTGTTTTTAGTTAATACCAATACTATCATGTGGTTCTGCTTCTGGTTGTCACTTTTTCAAAAACCTCTCCAGGCAAGAAATGATCAAAATAAAAATGTATTCTTTGTGTTCAATCCTTTGATCAATATACTATGGCTTGAAATCTTCTATCCTCGAGGTTAATATTATATTAATGCAACGCACTTGCACTGCTATAGTTAGAGAACTGTCAGCAATTCCAGTTGTCTCCCATTTTCAGGGGTTTATAACACCATTAAAACTTGCTGTAGGTTGAATCCTAGCATATGAAAGCACATCTGAAAATGGATTTTGTTGTTCCCTCCCCTCCAACTTCACTCTTCACCCCTCTCCGCATCTGACAAGAAACACACATACACATCACTAGGTTTTTTTTTTTTTTTTTTTTTTTTTTAAAGTTCCCAGGAAGGTATTAGTTATCTACCTGATAACTACAAAATTATTGTCGAATCACACATGGAAAGGAATCCAAAGGTCAGTACTACAATGAAAAAGTTACCTTATCTCAAACTGTTGTATTTGTAAGAATTTAACAAAATTGAAAAGCAGCCTCTGTCACTTCTTAAAATTATATTATTACATACATCACCTCTACATAATGATAGGTATAGGAAAGTTATTTTAAAATTTACTCAAGGGGCTGGTCACCACATATGTTCTGAGGAAAAAATAGCTCCTTAATAAAATGTCCATGACTGAAAAGGTAAACATGCCATTCCTCCAGCATCTACAAGGGTAACAGCCACCTAATGTCTTTTTTCTTTAAATTCCACTCCTATGACAGTTTACTAATCTTTCTACTGATCTAATTTCATATAGGTAAAGGGAATAGCAGTTTACTTATCCGATTGTTATGAAACAGTTTATTTTATTGGGTACTGACCAAAGGGTTGACACCTAAAATAACCCTCGTAATATATTAGAAAAAACATTTCTTGAAATTTGTATGCTGAAAAATGAAAGCCAAGTATTTATTGCTATGTATTTCTACAATCACAGGTAAGAGGTTTACATTACAGATTAGGTGACAAGAGTCAGCACCTAGATTACAAGACGACAGAAGTCATCAACACTAACATTCCAGTTGGAACCTTGGAGTCAGTTCTTTTTATGTAATCTTACCATTATAAAACTTAACAGGCTTTGTACCCCTCCCCTAAATTACTAACATGGCCCTCTGGCCCAGTGGTCCCCCACGGTGAAATACAGAGAAAAAAATATTAATTTTTAAATTTATTTCTATTTCTATTTTTTAAAAAATCTATTCATATACAGAATTATAATAGTGTATTATATAATTGATCTTTAACCTCAAGGAGCTTTATCTTCAGCCAGTGAAATCTGAAACTTGCCACAAAAAAACTATACACCTCTTTTATTACAATCAATTCTCCTTTCTGACTACAATCTTCCATTACTCTATCTCTTTCACTGCCTTAACTCAGGGACCTCTTCAAAGTGCCAAGTCAATCTTTCTTCTGTATTTATTTATTCATTTCTCTGTTCCCATTCCACTTGCTCTTTGTTACAGAAGCCTCCAATTTCTTGTCCCTTCTGCTTTCTCCTTATTGGCACCCTCTTGCCCTGACTTTTGCTTCCTCACCAAACAGAAAACAGTAGTTGAGCCTAAAATAAAACACTCATGGTTATGTGGTTTATATTTTATATTTTAGTTTTCTATCTTACTTTTACTCCCACTTTTCTGTTGCCTTCTCTAATTGCTGTTACTTTTCCTTCCTTACTGGCAAATATCCATATAGTGAAAGAACTTTACTTTCTACAGCAGTCATAAAGAGGTCAGCAACTTGGTGTAACTGTGTTGATCTATATATACAAAAATATTTTCCTGGAGTTACACCAAATCATGTTACTTCCATACAATTCCTTTCCTGTATATTCATTCCTAAACCCATGGCCAAAACAGACTGTAAAAGAGCCATATCATTCTTACTATGGATTAGAGTTCTAGAAAACAAAGTCCTATGTGTGTGTATGAAAGAAAAATGTATATACAAAAGAAATTTAGTATATGAAATGTAGCTTTCATTTAAAAAGTAGATGTTGCTTTAAAAAAGGAATGTGAGAAAATTAATATTTACCACTTTAAAGCTTTCACTGACCTAGGGAAGTGGTAGTAGTAGTATTGATAAGAGTGAATTCTTAGGTGATGCTGGTAATTAGCTGTGTCAAATTCATACAGCACAAAAACCCCCACTACTAAACAATGATCTTTTTTCTCTTTCTCGTATTATCCTTGATTTATTGCAGTATGCCGTTTACTTCCTATCCAGCTCACATTCTGTGGTCTAACCTTTCAATAACACTTTCAGTACTCTAGGCACCCGAAAGCCCTGTAGTTTCCTTACTTTATAGACATCCACCCTGCTAGTCATTCTCTCTCTGCCTGCACCCAAACTCTAAGTGCAACTGAGAGGAATACATATACACCCTATCTTCAGAATCACCATTCTCAGGTTGGCATTCAATACAACTTGGCAATTCTCTCATCCTTCTCTGGTCAACTCACTTCCCCATTTTCTCCAAAGATCAGTTATGCTTTCTCCATTTTCTTTTAAAATTGCTTCTGTTTCAGTAGATGGCCTCACCTACTTCACAAAGAAGAAAGGCTGTCAGAGAGGAATTAAGTCAACTTCCTTCCAGCACATCTACAAACTTACTTACACTCATCCTTTCAAACTCTTTCACATCCGATAAAAAAGGAGAAGGTGGCTCTCCATGCAATGTCACCTGGATCTGGATCCTATCTCTTCTTGTCCCCTCTTGAACCTCGGCCTATGGATTATTGCCCATATCTTTTTTTTTTTTTTCAGCCTTTTCTTTCTGCTGGCATCTTCACATTGACATTTAAATATATTCAAACATCTATCTTTTCTCTTTTATAGGAAAACTTTCTCAGAAATCATCTACTTTTGTACTCTTTTTCTTCATTCCTTCTCCTTATACAGCAATTCGTGCAATTTGGCCTTTGTCCCACTATTCCATGAAAATGCTCTCATGAGTCATTCGTGGCCTCAATCAGTAAACCTAATACATATGATTTTCCCTCCTACTTCTTTGTCAGTGATCTTTGTAGGTTCCTCCTATTCCAATTAAAAATGAGATCCTCAATGCTAGGTTCTGGGTCTCTCCTTGTTCTACATCTTCTTCCAAAAATGTGTCTCTGAGTCAGCAGCATAGGCATCACGTCAGAACTTAGAAATGCAAACTCTTGGTCTCCATTCCTAGGCCTACTGAAGAAAAAACTCTGGGAGTAGGGTCTAGAAATCTGTGTTAAGCCTTCCAGGCAATTCCATCTACTCTAAATTTTGGGAATTATTACCCTAGACAATTTGATCTATACAGTCCTTTGCCAGTATTTACTAATACATCTCTGCAGTCCATGTGTCTCTCTCCCAAGATCAAACTGCCAGCTTGACATGGATATCTCATTGGTGCCTCCTATTGAACGTGTCTCCAACAGAGCCACTCATACACTCTTCCCTTTTCTCCTAACCAGTTCTTCCTCTAGTAATACCTTTTTCAAATGATATTTACCCTATTGCCCAAGCCAGTAACCCAGAAGCAGCTTTATCTCTTCCCACTTCCTTAATTCCCACCCCCAATTCAATAACCAAACCTCTTAAACATATCTCAAATCTATCCACCCTTTTCAATTCTTAATACTACCACTCTAGACCAACCTATCATCATCTATTATTTGGCCCACTCCAATAGCTTAATCAGTCTCCCACAACCACTCTTGTCATCCTCTAAACCTTTTCATATCACTCACTTGCTTAAAATCCTTTTATTCACTTCTCATAATCCAAAGGTTCAAGAATAAGATTCTTAACAAGGTCTCTAATTCTCTACATCAGGGGTCCCTAACCTTCAGGCCATGCAGCAGGAGGTGAGCAGTAGGCAAGCAAGTGAAGCTTCATTTGTATTTACAGCCACTCCCATCACTTGCATTTCTACCTGAGCTCTGCCTCCTGTCAGATCAGTGGTGGAATTAGATTCTCACAGGAGTGTGAATCGTATGTGAACTGTGCATGTGAGTGCTCTAGGTTGTGTGCTCCTTATGAGAATCTAATGCCTGATGATCTGTCACTGTATCCCCCATCATCCCCAGATGAAACCGTCTAGCTGAAGCAAAGCAAGCTCAAGGTTCCCACTGATTCTACATTATGGTGAGCTGTCTAATTATTTTATCTTACAATGTACTAATAAGAGAAATAAAGTGCATAGTAAATGTAATGCACTTGAATCATCCTGAAACCATGTCTTCAATGAAACTGGTCCCTGGTGCCAAAAAGGTTGGGGACCATTGCTCTACATGATCTGATAATACATATAAAGCAGTTACAACAGTACCTGGCACATGGTTTACACTCATTAAATGTTACCTAGTATCTCAGGCCATTCTCACTCTCTGTTATAGCTATATGACTTATTTCAAGCCCTCAATATACTCTTTCTTACCTTAGTACTTCAGTAGAAAGTGTGCCACCCCCACCTCCATCTTAGGTCACCTCTCAAGTTTCTGTTTTTCCTGCACATTCCTTCAACAAAACTAGAAGTTTTACTGTTACATAGTCCAAAAACATTCTGTACTTATTTATAATATTAATCACACTGTTAATTATGTAAATAATCTTTCTTTCTCATCAGAATGTAAGTTCCATGAAGGCAGGCAGTGGATTGGTCTTGCCTACTGCTGTAATCCCTGTCTGGCAGAGTTCCTGGAAAACAGCAAATAACAGTAAATGTTGGCCAAGTAAATACTTGTTATCTACTTCCAATTTCATAAAACTTTCTCCTCCCTTGAGTTCTGTTACACTCAACTTTTCTGTTTTTCCTCTTCTATCTCTGACTACTCTTTCTCTGGTTTGTCTTCTGATGCTTGTTGCTTTTGGTATTGTCCAAGTGTTTGTCCTTGGCTATCTTCTTAGTTCTGCTAGCAGTTTCTTCTTGGTAATCTTATACACATCAGGTTTTCAACTATCATCTCTTGGTAGATGATTTAATATGTTTTACCCCAACTCCAATCTCTCTCTCTGGCTTTTTTTTTTTTTTTTTTTGAGACATGGTCTTGCCCAGGTTAGAGTGCACTGAGATCATGGCTCACTGCAGCCTCGAACTCTGGGGCTCAAGCGATCCTTCTGCCTCAGCCTACCAAGCAGCTAGGACTACAGGCATGTACCACCATACCCGTGCCCAGTTAATTTTGTTGTTTTTTAAGTAGAGACAGGGTCTTGCTATGTTGCTCTCATCTGGTCTCAAACTCCTGGGCTAAAACAATCCTCCTGTTGTGGCTTCCCAAATTGCTAGGATTACAAGTACGAGCCAAATCTCTTAAATTTGAATCTCGTGTTTCCAAATGCTTAGTGTATGTGTCTATCTGGTTCCTTAAAGGCGTCTCCAGTTCAGTTACAACTAAAATTGAGATTCTGATTATCCTCCTGAAAAGTTCCTTGTCCTGCTCTTTCAATAAATGACATAACTTACTTTTAGTCAGGTTTGAGACCAAAGTCTTTCCTTCACTGAGTCTTTCCCTACTCCTTATATTCAAATAATCAGCAGGCCTTTCCTGTGGATTCTGCGATATTTTTCACACTTGCCCTACTTTTCACTTTCACTGCTACTAATAAAATTCAGGTTTTATTAGCTTACTTGAACTATGGCAATAACCTCGTTATTTTCCTTGACTTCAACTTTGTTGCCATACAAATTTTCCTGAAACCCAGTTTTCTTCCTTTTCATTCAAATAAAAAAAAATTCTTGCTGAGAAGTTAGGGCTTTCCACCACCTTCAAAATAAAGTCCACATTTCTTGGCCTAGCATTTAAGACGATTCAGTAATTGGCACAAAAATTATCATTCATCATCCCCAGATCTGCTTTATAGCTAGCTGGCCCCACCTCTCTTTTTTAAAATTTTTTGTCTGGGAAGCTCTTTACCTATTTTTATATATCTACATCCTATCAAGACCCTGTTCAAATACTTCTCATGAAGATTTGACTGACAGTTGCTGTGCCCCTCTCCATTCCAAACCCTATTAATAGTCTCTCCCTTCAAGGATATCTCATAGTGCTTTTTCATGGTAGTGCAACTTTCTCCCTTGAAGTATTTTTTTTTTTTTTGGCACAAGTGTTATGTGCCCTACAAAACTCTGAGTACTTTAAGGGCAGAGTCTATATTTATGCTTTTGCCTATCCCTTTGCTACTTTGCAAAGTACCACAAATAATGGCTATAGAATTACTGGAACTAAGTGATCAAAGTATAGTGGTCTTATCTCTCCTTCTATACAACTGTAGCCATTTCCAAGGTCCCTTCAGCAGAAATCACAAAAGTAACTCACCCCTGCCCCCACAAAAAAACTCCAAACATCAAAAAAGCAAAAGCAAAGCAATCACCTCTTTCATGACTGGAGACTTGTAGTACAATGTTCCTATTTGTAAAACTCTCATAATCTTTCACCTAGCTTGCTTAAATTCATTAATCCCACTGGCCTGTAAACTTGATGAGAGCAGGAACTTGTTTTGTTCACTGTATTTCCCTAGTGCTTGAAACTTAATAAGGGCTAAAAAATATTTACCCAGTGAATGAACTAGGTTTTTTGGGTAAATGTCACCTTATAAGGCTTCTGTGATTTCTCCAACCTGAATTGGGCATTCATATATAAATGTAAGTATGTGCTTTCTCCCAGATCCATCTTTCACCCTACCTGGCAATCTCAAAAGAAGTCTAAAGTTGATCATATGCATGTGCCCCAGATGAAGGAAACCGAATTTATGCACACAGAGTGCAGTATTACCGTTGCCATTTCATAATGGCTCTAAAAAACTTTGTTCTTCATGACTTCGCAAACTCTTACAACACCTTCCAATAAACATTCTTTTAAAGATGCTGCCTTTTTCATTCCTCCAGAGTTCTTGGTTCTGGGTAACAATGATACCTTAGGGACACCTGGAATCGCAGGAGAAAAGGCTCCGATTCCAAACCAATCAAGTGACTGAAAGCTGACAGCAAACACTTAGAAAAAGAATGTCAATCCTTTGATCAAAGCATCACACATCGAAGGCCTAGAATGGGGGATGGTCCTTGACAGGGGAGCTAAAAGATGAGAGACAATGAGGGAGCTACGTAGAGAAGTGACTAAAACCCTCCGACAAAGTCCGAGGCAGGATTCCAAGTCCCTTGTCCCTAGACCTAGAAATATCCTCGGTCCGCATGCCCCGGCCCGCAACTCCCTCGGAGGAAGCACAGTCCTCACTGAAACGGGACAGCAGTCAGTCTAGGGAACGCAACCGCCCGTAGGTTATGATGATTCCGCTTGAGGAGCGAGGAAACTAATACCCCACGTAGCTACTCTCCCACCTCGCTCCTAGCGGGGGGTCTCGAGCCTCCAGGAGGCGGCCGGGAGCAAAGTCGCTCAGCACAACTCACCGTTCCGCCCCGCCCTGCCGATCCGTCTGTTCCCGGTGGTCCCTTCGGAAACGGTCCCCGCACTGGCCGGCTCCGAAAGCAGAAAAACAAAGGTTCCCACAGTAGGGGCGGGGGAAACGTTTGGCAGTGCGACAGTAGGAAGTGACGTTACTTCCCTTTTTCCGGTCCGCCGGATTATGAATGACGGCCGGCGGGAGTGTTTTCCAGATAAACTAGCTGTCGTTTTTCTCCTGGTCTCTGTGGAAGCGAGTGGTCTGCGGGCAGCAGCTCCCAGAGGCAGCCTGGGAATTCCAGCTCGGGCTGGGCGGGAAGGCGCAGGCGGCCCAGGTCGCCGACACGCTCACGCACCCTACCTGCCTGGCCGCGCCTCTGCGACCAGGTAAAGAGGGCGCTCGGGCCGCCGGCTTCTCAGCCTCCGCGACCCCCAAAGGACCGTTCTTTTCTTCGGAGGTCTATAGGGCTGAGGATGCGGGGAAAGGGTGGGAAGGATAAGGGCGTGGTATCATCGTCCTGATTTTTCTCCAGCCCTGGGGCCGCCTCAAGCTCCTTTTTGGCCACTCCTGCTGAAGGTGCGGGTTGAAGGCTCTGGGCTCCTCAGTAGTACGCGTTTCCCAGTTTCCCCCTAGCCAATCCCTCGTGTCTTCCTCTGCTGGAGAAATGGGACAGCTTCCAGTTGGAGGCGTTGGTTGGGGTGGTTTGATATTTGCTGTTAAGTGTAATTTCAGACCTCTTGGGTCACACTTTTAACTTCTCTTCTCTCTTTGGCATTGAGTTTTCCATTCTAGCCCTTCCTAATTGCAGAAAGCAGTTCTATGTGAATACTACCTAACATTTACTCCAAAGGACTTGCCTCATTTTGGGCCATTCGCTTATGTTTTGTCATCACAGCAGTATCTCTTCGGTTTTTAACTTCTGTAGAAAGTTTAACTTGCATGAAAATTGCTTTGGCTTCAAAAACGTTTGCTAATACACGTACTTCCATCCCAACTTTCCACCTGGTTTTGGGATTAGATGACTTGTTTTTTTCCTCTTTATTCTTAATGCCAGGATCCCATTCCTTGTCATAAATTCTTGAATATCAAGAAAATGCCAGCCTTAGTAATGTATCGTGTCCTACGTTATTGATAAAGAAGGTGGTGTATTTCTATTTTATCTAAGCTTATCGGTAAAAGCAGTGTTTACAGGAGAAAAGGCAAAAGCTAGCAAGAACTAGTGATGTGATAATTTTAAACATGTAAACATGGTTATTTAAATCCATGATAATAAACTGTTACAACACAACTAAATGATTCGCTGTCATATTTAATAAATCAAACATTAAGCCATGTGGGTTAAAAAAAAAAAAAAAAAAAAAAAAAAACTGCCTGATTGGGGGCACACACCACTGAGAGGATTGCTTTAAGCATACTCGTTACTAAAAACCGTGTATTACACCTGTAGGTATCATTTTGTGAGGTCTCACTTCAAAAATAAGACTGAAAAGGTCAATGAGATTTGAGAATCGTCTTATCAGTTCTTTTTATTTTATATATTTTGCACTTTTTTTTTTTTTTTTGCTATAATTTAAACAGAGCTCAAACTTGAGCGTCTCTAGTAGTGGGCCCATCAAGTTTTTGTTTTGTTTTGTTTTGTTTTGTTTTGAGACGGAGTCTCTCTCAGTCGCCTGGGGATGGAGTGCAATGGCCTGATCTCTCCTCACTGCAACATCCGCCTCCCGGGCTCAAGCAATTCTTCTGCCTCAGCCTCCCGAGTAGCTGGGATTACAGGCGCCCACCATCACACCCGGCTCATTTTTGTATTTTTAGTAGAGGCGGAGTTTCACCATGTTGGCCAGGCTGGTCTCAAACTCCTGACCTCAAATGATCCGCCCGCCTCGGCCTCCCAAAGTGCTGGGATTACAGGCGTGGGCCACCGCGCCGGGCCTGTTTTTGCTTTTTTAAATTTGTTTTACTTGTAGCTTTTGTATCATCTGTGATTTTTAAATAAAAATAAATACTGAGTATCCAATTAGCTTTTCTAACAAAGAATAAATACTGAATATCTAATTAGCCTTTCTAATAGCAACAATTTAGCAGCCCTCAAAATTAACAAATTCTGGAGCCAGCTAACTAATACATCTGTAGTATACACGGTTCCCTGGTGTGTGTGTGTTTATTCTAAGGTATTTAATGTAGTTTATGGAATTCTGTTATGCAGAATATTGGAACACTTGGAATGCAGATATTTAAACCATGTACATTAAAACAAGCACAGGTATTGTTTGCTGTGAAAATTAAGTAATTTTATTTCGTACTTGGTGTTAGCCATTTGCGCTGTGGATCACTGTTAATTATGAGGTCTGGTTTAGCTGCAGGCATTATGACTCCATGGCAACGGATGATTCCCTGATTCTCCATAGAGAAGATTACACCCTTTGTTTATGGCTAAGGTTACAGTAAGCTTTCCACTTAAAAACTTTTTTCCTACTTCTTTACCAGATAAGAAAACAGCTAATTTTAATCATTGGCTTTTGTTCTCTAGGACTTAACTGCATCCCATATTACATATTTAAGAAGCTTGAAAAAAACTCAGTTTTTTTCTTATCTTTTTTGACTTTAAATATTTAAGGTAATTGGCTGCTATCTGTTGAGGGGCAAGCTTTTTTGTTGTTGTTGTTGGTTTTTTTTGGTTAAATCTATGTTATTGTAATAAAATAGGGTGCAATATTCAACCAAATAGTGTTGTTTTATGAAAAACATAAAACCCAAGCTAAGTTATAAAATTCAAAATATTGAACATATGATGTAGGAGAGAATTTTTAGCAGGTTTAAATTTTAATCTTTAAGAAAACAGTTTGTGATTTTTCATACTTATAAACTGTGTTGAACTTCTTATTTTGTACAGTGGGTTAGCATGCACATGGATTACGGGTTTCACATTTATATTTTACCTTTCATGATTCCCTGGCTTTCAGTCTCAGTAACAACTATGTTTTTTCAGTGTTTGGGTGGGAAAAACTTTTCAATCAATATAAATCCCTTACCTTTCATGGAAAGACGCTTGAAAATATAAAACATAATTTGGGTTTTGCCCATCAAAGTTTGCATTTTTTTTTGTTTTGTTTTTTTGTTTTTGTTTTTTTTTTTGAGATGGAGTTTTCCCCTTGTTGCCCAGGCTGGAGTGCAATGGCACCATCTCGGCTTGCCGCAACCTCTCCCTCCCAGGTTCAAGCAATTCTCCTGCCTCAGCCTCCCGAGTAGCTGGGAATACAGGCATGCCCCACCACGCCTGGCTAATTTTTTTTTTTTGTATTTTTAGTAGAGACGGGGTTTCTCCATGTTGGTCAGTCTGGTCCCGAACTCCTGACCTCAGGTGATCCGCCCCAGCCTCCCAAAGTGCTGGGATTACAGGTGTGAGCGACCGCGCCTGGCCCAAAGTTTGCATATTTTAATAGTGCCAATTGGTAAGGAATTTGCTTATAAATTATAAAGAAATAATAGTAGCTAGTATTTATTTAAGGACTTAATATGTGACAAGCTTTGTTCTGTACAGCACATTACATGGTAGGTACAGTTATTGTCTCCATTTTATAAGTGAGGAAACAGATATGCAGAAAAGTTTTTTATAGCTACTAAGAATCAGAACCAGGATATTTGCACCCAGGTAGTCTGGCTCAACAGTCTCGGCTCTAATCTATTACTTTATAATTCTTGTTTTATAAATATTCTCGCTAGGCACATGTATGAAGTCTAGTTAAGATTCTTAGTTCCTTTGCCCTGGATATAAGTATACATAAAAACTTCTGTGCTTGCTCTATTTATGAGTTTGGTTAGATTCCATTTATATTTTCCCCAATTCACCTCACAAAGGTGATCTTATTTCTTCATTTTAATTTATACTTAGTTGATCCTTAAAATAGATTTATTAATTTGGAAAAGAATGGTGTCATGAAGAACGAAATTCATGTTGTACCAAGAATAAAGTTATTAATAATACTCTCAGACAGTGATTTCCAACATTCATGTATGCACATTCATTCCTTGAACTAAAGTTTGAGTTCATTAAACACTGGAGATATTATAGTGTTAGGTGATAAGAGCTATGAAGAAAAAGGGACGCTAGGTAAGAGGCTAGGGAGTGCTTTTTCAATTCAGGCAGTCAGGAGAGGCTGTTCTGAGTTAATATTTATGCAGATAAATCAATGAAATGAGGGAGCAAGCCATGTGAATCTCTTGGAGAAAAGCATTCTAGGCAAAGAAATAGCAAGTACAAAAATTCTCCAGTGGGAGCATTTCTGGCACCTTCCAAAAACAGCAAGGACAACTGTGGCTGGAAGGGAGTGAAGAAGGATAAGAGATGAGGTCAGAAAGGGATAGCTAGGGTCACAGTAGGCCTATAGGCCATAATAGGAAATTTGGATTTTATTCTGAGTGTGCTGAAGAGCCACTGGATGGTTTTGAGCAGGAGACATCTGATTTATGTTTTTAAGGATCATCCTGTTGTTGGAAAATGGACTGTTTTATGGCAAGTGGAGGAAAACAGTTAATAGGCTTTTGCAGTAGTCCTTGTAAGCACTGGTGATGACTTAGATTAAGGTGGTAGTGGTAGAGGTGCTAAGGAGTTGGATTTAGCGTATACTTCAAAGGTAGAGATGGCAGGGTCTGAGAGAGAGAAGAAAAGAAGTTGAGTGGGACTTTTGAGTTTTCGGCCTGAGCATCTGGTTGATTGGTGTTCCCATTTTACCAGGAAGTAGAACACTAAGGGAAGAGGAGCAGGTTTAGAAAAACATCCACATGGAGATGTCAGGTAGAATACAGGAGTCTGAAGTTAGGGGAGAAGATATGGCTGGGATATACATGTAAGAGTCAGATAATATTTAAAGCTATGGCACTGGAGATCACCCAGAACAGTGCTGTCATATTGTGAGTTGTGCCCCATTAATGAGTCAGGAAATCAATGTAATGAGTAACAACCAGCATTTAAAAAAACAAGCACAGAGGAAAAAATATCAGATTTATCCCATATAGTAGGATAAGTATTGCTTCATGACATTTTTGTTTCCATTTTATTCAGTGTATTGTGTGTTACATTATAAAATGTGTAACTAATTGTGTGGCATGATCACAAGTGTGAAAACCAGTATTCAAAGGATGAAGTGTGGATTAAGAAGAGGGCAAAACACTGAGCTGGGGTCACTGAGCCATCTGCAGAGTAGCCAATAAAAGGAATCAGGAAAGAATTGCCAAAGGATTTAATCCAGTGTAGAAACTTGTCAAATAACCCAGGGATGGAAGTTTATATCAAGGATTACTGAGACCAGCATACTTGCTTAGAATAACATAATACCTGACGATTTTCACTTTGGTAAAATTGCTTCAATTTATGAAATTTTATTTATAAATAGTACTATTATATTAGAACAATACCTATTCTTAAATGTCTCTAAATAAGATCTTTTATAAATTTAATTAATACTTTTGGACTGATGTACAATTCTCATCTCTATAATGGAAATAAAATACTTTTAAGGATTGTGAGCTTTAGAAGTAATGCACATGTTCTGTGTGCTCAGCACATAGTAGGTAGATGATAAAATGTATGTACTATTTAAAACTTTATTTACCTAACATTTATTGAACTCCTATCAAATTGTCACAAAGATAACTTATTTGAAAAAACAAAAAACAAAACACAGGTTGATAATTTGCAGCAATTATGCACTTTTTGGTCTTCATTATATAATATATAATTTATCTAATACATAATGTACATAATGCCATAGATCTTGACTTGAATTTTGATCACAAAATTTTCAAGCTTTGTTTTTTCTGGACTGTGGAGAAGTATGCTTATTTTTAATAGTTTACTGTTTGTCTCTCTCATTCTCTGTGTTTTATCAAGGCTAAGATATATTCATTAGAATGAAAGTGCAAAAAAAATTCTGAATGCCTAAATATTAAACCTATGACTAATTCCACCATTTAAAAATATATTAGAACTTTCCTGAGTAATGAAATCAAAGCCATAATCTTTTCTTTTTACCTACTTATTAATTCACCAAGATTCCCAAGCAAACTGGCATGTCCGGGAAAGAGGTGCACACTCTATTTAATATCCTGAAGTTTGTGGTTTTGTCTACTACTTTCTCATTCCCTCTCTGGAGAGTGGCACCTGTCAAAGCTGAGAAAGAGCAAATTACTCTATTTCTGTGCTTGGCAGGAATGTAATATGCAGTAACAAGAGCTATGCCCCAGAAGCCCTAGAGACAGAAGTTGAGTCTATAGTACCTACCTTCTTAAAGATCATGACGAAAAATGAATGAACTAAGGCATTCTCAAGCTAGGAAAGAAAAAAGAGGAGGGATTTTTTTTTTTTTTTTTTTGTCTGTGATATTTGCATACTTGGAGCAAATAGTGGTTCTTCTCTCTAAAAAGGCACAGTGCAAGCCAAAAACATCACATTTGTACAGGTTTACTAAATAATATTTATTTTAAAAATTATATTAGTACATAATAGGGAAACATTCAAGGAGAGTAATTTTTTATTTTTTTACTCTAAGATCATTAAGTAACATTTTTAATCTCCCAGGGGAAAAACCAACATCTATATTTTTAAGAAAATACGTTAAGAATCAACAGTACTTTGTTGCATTGTCTCTCAGGCATCTCATTAATTTTTAGATATCACCATGGGCAGGTTATTGCTATTCTGTTTTGCTGACATTTAGCATTTTAAGTGCTAACAATGGGAAGAGTTTATAGAGTATGTCTAAAACCCTATTGTCATATTCTTATGTGCCTTGCAACATGGCAAATATAGACGTACTTTTAAAAAAATATATTTCTACATATCTTAAAAGCTATTAGATAGCATGACTTTGTTTCCAGTTTTTAAAAAGTGTTACGATGAGGCTCATAATTACTATTTTTTAGACTGCTGGGCAAATGATGAAATCAGTCATGTTTTCTTTCAAATCTGCTTTCTTGAAACACTTAGGGATCAGTCCTCTTTTTATCATCCTACTGGCAGGAGAGTGAGTCCAGAGCAAATTCCTCATAAAGACTGTTAATTCCTGGAAAGTGTGGTTGGTTCTTTTTACCCTAGTGTTGTTACAGATCTCACTTTGTTTGACTGTTTTTAAGGACTCATAGCATAAAGGTGTTATATTAATAATGAAAATGTTTCCAGAGCTCTATTCAGCTTTATTTAAAAAACAAAACAAAACAAAACAAACTCTGACGTTTGATCTGTAATAAATACCTTTTTGTTTAAAAATTATCTCTCGGTGACAAAAATTTTAAAAAATAAGCTCAGGGAGAAAATGGCATCTGTAAGTTAAAAAGTTGTTCCTTTTACAGTACGTAAAATAATTTTCCCCCAGATAATCTTTTAAGAAGTAACAAATCATGGTATGTATCTGTTACATTTTAATAGAATAAATATAAAATAAAGCAGTAGTGATTATTTGTATTATTAAGAAACTTTATAAGATAATACTTTACTAACTATATTTCTTTTTTATAATGGATTATAAGTTATTTGCTTTTAAAGAATGAAGAACTAAGAGGCTTAAAGTGTTCAGGTTTTGTTTCAGTTTTTTTTAAAAAGGAATTTAAAATATTAAAGAAAATTTAGTATGATGAAGGTTTTCTAAAATTAAGTGTACACTAACATTTTGAATACACTTAAAAGACGAGAGGTGCATGTGTACTTTTTAAAAGCTTTTAAAGTAATTTTCCTTCTAATATGTCATGTTTCTGGTACATATTTCCATGATGAATGCTTTTAAAGAGTGCCATCTAGTGTCAGTTTTGGAATAATTGTAATTTATGGATTAGAACATTGGGAATTTTTGACCCAGGAAATGTATAAACTTAAAAAGACAGGACAATTGATAAAAAACTTAAGGAATATGACTTGAAAATAGCCATGAGGAATCTGATCTCAAGACTGTGTGTGTTTGCACCTTTAACCAGTGTGTATATTTATCTCTGCTTTCATTTGTCAAATACTGCTTGCTTATATATATAATAAGCATATAAAGCAGTGAACAAAAAATTTTTACTCATGGAACATTCTAGTTGTGGGAGACAAATAATAAAATATGGTATATCACCATTTTTTCAGGGAGCGTGGGGACTGGGGTTTGTGATTTAAATTGAGTAGTCAGGGAGGATCTCAGTAAGAAGTTGCCATTGAATAAATAAATACCTGAAGGAAGTGAGGAAGTGTTCTAGGTACTGGAAACACCAAGTGCAAAGGCCCTGATGTGGGAATGTACCTAGTGTTTTAGCAGGGGTCCCCCAACCCGGGGCCCAGGACTAGTACCCGTCTGGGGCCTGTTAGGAACCCCACCTCAAAGTGGGAGGTGAGCGGCAGTAAGCCAGCGTTACTGCCTAAATGTCGTCTCCTGTCAGATCAGCAATGACATTAGATTCTTATAGGTGCTCCAACCCTATTAACTGCATGCAGGAGAAATCTAGGTTGCACGTTCCTTATGAGACTCTAATGCCTGATGATCTGAGGTTTCATCCGGAAACCATCCCCATCCCCCTACCAACCCCTCATGGAAAAATTGTCTTTCATGAAACTGGTCTGTGGTGCCAATAATGTTGGAGATGGCTGTTTTAGAAGAATAACAATCTACTTTGGCTGGAACAGTGAGCAATGAAGAGAGTTAATGAGACAAACTCAGAGACATAAAAGAGGATTAGATCAAGGAGATTTTTGTAGGCTGTTGTAGAAACTTTGGCTTTTCTCTAAGGACAATGGGAAGACCTTGGAGGGTTTCATTATGGGGGTGTAAAGGAAAAGAACGGTGTAAACTGAGATGGGGAAGACACATAAGGAGCAGGTTTGAGGGTGGGAGAGAATAAGGAACTAGATTTTGGACATGTTAACTTTAAGATATCCCAGCTCTCACTATCCATGTTATGGGGAAATTCAAATATTTTTATATTATGATTTAGCACTCAGCAGCTATCACTTGAGTAGAATCTACTTCTCCTAAAAGAACGAATGTCCCCTCCCTATTATTTTGTAGGTCATAAAAAAGAAGCAGTATGGAAGGACCAGCACTGGCAAAACTTCTCAAGGATATTATCCCCAGACAGCTCTCAGTATTCTTGGTTAATTTATTTCCCCTTCTGTTTATCTCCTGTTCTCACCTATAGTGAGACCCCAAAGTACTTGATTGGGAGGGCTCTATTGGGAAGCACTGGGGTTTGCTCATTTTAAAGGAGCTGTTGTAAAATTTCCTCTAATGCTAGTCAATTGCAAAGGGTGGAATTTTTTCTTTTGGAAGTCATTTAGTCAGTCTTCAGAAACAAACCTTATAGCATTATTATCTACTGCAAATTTTTACTGATTTCTAGAACAGGCTTTTGAAACATTCATCTTTTAGCTTCTAAATGATTATATTCTAAGACCATAATCATTACAATTTATACTTTAGGTGACTCAATGAAAGAAGAAAATGAAAACCATAAAGAAAAGTCTTACAGAAGAAGAATACCTGTATCTGGACTTTTCTCACCAAACAAAAGGATGCATCTTTCCTCTTCATACATCTGTAACTTTATTTCTGTTATCTTACTGTGACTGTAAAATCTTTAAAATTTGCTTAGTTGTCACCAAAGAAGTGAGTACAGATAGTTCACTACTAAGAGATGATCTGATCCAGGATGTTGAAATACAGATTATTTCAAGGCAAGAGCTCCCACCAATAGTCCAGAATTGCTGTTTGCCTGCAGTAGTAGAACGATCAGACAATTTTTGTAGAGCAGGACTTGCCGTTGTATTGAGACACATAATCCAGAAATCCTATGAAGCAGACCCCTTAAAGAAGGAACTTTTGGAACTTCTGGGCTTTAAAAAGACTTGCTTGAAAGCCTGTGCTGAAGTAAGTATAATGTCTCTTTTCTGATATTTGAAGCTATAGAGTGGAGTGACAACATAATTACTTGACCATTTAATATTTTAACTTCCTATTAGGAATAAAAGTTTATTTTAAAAAACCACAGTAACCAATGAAATAAGGTAGCCCTTTGATATAGTTTGAATATTTATCCCTTTTAAATTTCATGTTGAAATGTGATCCCCAATATTGTTGGGGGTGGAACCTGGTAGGAGGTGTTTGCGTCATGGGGGCAGATGCCTTATAAATGACTTGGTGCTCTCACTGGGGTAATGAGTGAGTTCTTGCTCTGTTAGTTCACTAGAGATCTAGCTGTTGAAAAGCGTCTGGTACCTCCTCCTTGCTCTCTCTTGCACCCTCTCTCCCCATGCGACACACCTGCTCTCTCTTTGCCTTCTACCATGACTAAAAGCTTCTTGAGGTCCTGACCAGAAGCAGATGCTTCTTGTATAGTCTGCAGAACCATGAGCCAAATAAACCTCTTCACTTTATAAATTACTCAGCCTCACCTATTCCTTTACAGCAATGCAAAATGGGCTAATACACCCTTTACGTGTGCCAATATTTCAGTGCGGTATTGAAAAATAAGAATTAAGACTTAATTTATAAAGTTTGGAGACATTTTTAGAAAATAACTTTTTTTTCTTTATTTTAGTTATGTTGATTTTTAAACAGAATGTTTACATATAAATAGGAACTCAAATAGTAATGCTTTGGAAGTCCTGCTTATTGTAGGATCTAGGAGAATGGCGGGACAGAAGAGGTATATTTTTAAGGCTTTAAGAAGTAATGATTTATTTAGTAAGGGGAATACAGGAATGCTAAACCTCTTTTGCTTAATGTTTTTACTTGTAAAACACCGTGATGTGTCTCCTGATGTAACATAAAAGCCTAACCCAGGGATGATTTAGCTCAAAACTTATTTCCCAATAAGACAGTTATTTTTTCTCAAGTTATGTTGAAATTAAAAAATCCTTTCATTTCTTGTTTTGTTTTTGTTTTGTAGGTTAGCCAGTGGACCAGGCTATGTGAACTCACCATCCCTTTGGCTATTGAGAATTTTCTCAGAGAATCTTCTGACCAGCCCCCAACTATACCTGTAGAAATACTACAGCTAGAGAAAAAGCTTAGTGAGCCTGTTAGAGTGCATAATGATGATAAACTCCGCAGGCAGAAACTCAAGCAACAGAAGGCTGATGGAGTTGGGCCTCCCCTTACTAAGGGAAAGGCAAAGAGCAAGGTCCACACGCAGGAAACATCTGAAGAGTTGGACTCTTCATCTGAGAGTCTGGAACTGAAAGTGGCATTCTCAAAGCTCACAGTGCAGGAAGAACCAGCTACTACCAACAGAGAGCCTTCTCACATCAGAAAAGCAAAAGCCTCCGACCTTCCACCTCTGGAGCATGTGTTTGCAGAAGGGCTTTACTTCACTCTGGCAGATATCGTGCTCTTGCCCTGTATCCATCATTTCTTGGTAAGGTTTCGTCTGGACTGTACACATTACTATGAGTTTCGGTCTATGAAATTGCCTAGGTTTGAATTTTTATTCTAATTCTTATTGCCAGTATGCTGTTGGGCAAGTTATTAATGTCTTTCTCCATTTTCTTATCTGTAAAATGGAGATAATAATAGTACCTATCTAAGAGGAAAAATGTAAGGAACAAATTAAAGTTTGTGTGAAGTATGGAGAACAGTGCTTGGCACATAGTAAGCTGTCAATCAATGTTAGTAATTATTATGACTTTTAATGTGAAATTGCTAAAATGTTAACAGTTGTTATTATTAACTTCAAGTTTCTATTGTGATTACTTTCTAATATTAGAAGGTCCAAGTCGGCTCTGTGGTACCATGGATAGTCCGTTGGACTTCTACTATTAGAGGATCCAGTTAAAAAAAAACAAAAACTAAAAATCTTGTCAGCTAAATTTTATAATTATTAGTCACTTAAATTAATCTTATGTTAGGTATTATCAAATTGAAAATATTTTATTCTGACCTGTATGCTTCTCCATTCTCTCTGAGATTAAAGTAGCTGGCTCTGTTATTATGTGCTGGGGGAGGATAGAAAGTTTTCTGAGTAGGAAGATCTCTCTCTCTCTCTGTCTCTGTCTTACACACACACACACACACACGCGCGCGCACACACACACACACACACGCACATGCACACACACATTCCCTCTGTACAGGAAAAAAGAACAGGGTGAAAATAATACCAGAGTGAACATAGGAAGCTTAGCTCTCTGCAGCCTTCCAATTGGTTTTCAAGAGCTGCATTGCTTTTTGCTTTTGTTTTGTTTTTTTTTCTTGGAAGCATTTCCCCCTTTTCCCTACTAAGGAATCAGATACTAGATTTCATTCTCATTATATATCACCAACAATTCAGGTATCTTTTGACAGAAGAGACTTCTATTGAAAATCTATGTATTTGAAGGCTTTGCTTCACAAGTAAATTAGGCAGTATTGATCAATTGTCATTTTCTTAAAGAACATTTCTCTTTTCCTCAAAATTGAACCAAACTTGGCAACCAAAACAATGTAAAAATAGGGAGATCCAGGAATTGTTTAGATGTTGATTGGTATTTTAAATGCCAAATGTCATAATTTAATAGAGTCCACAGAGTTGAGTGGGAAGAAGACATTGATTTTTAAATTTTTTCCTAGTCAAATGATTTCTAGATTCTCTTCTCCATGATCCCTCTCCTCTATTACCAAGTTCAGTCATTAGAGCAGTCATTTGATACATTATGAAGTACTTGGTCTTCTGTCTTCTTGACTTCTTTGGATAACTGTGTTTCCAGTTTCATCAGAATTGAATGAAAGTAGCATATCCATTCCTTTATTGAAGAAATTTATTAAAATGATGTGAATATGTAAACTAATTCTCGAAATATTTTCCTTCATTCCTTTGTATTTTTACTGGATTTTTTTTTTTTGAGATGGAGTCTTGCTCTGTCACCCAGGCTGGAGTGCAGTGGTATAATCTTGGCTCACTGCAACCTCTGCTTCCTGAGTTGAAGCAATTCTCCTGCCTCAGCCTCCCAAGTAGCTGGGATTACAGGTGCACGCCACCATGCCCAGCTAATTTTTCTATTTTTTAACTAGAGACAGGGTTTCACCATGTTGACCAGGCTGGTCTTGAACTCCTGACCTTGTGATCTGCCCACCTCATATTTTCAGGAATTCATCTTTTTTTGATAAAGCCTTGATACTTGTTATATTTTTCTCCTTTAAATCATCTTGGGTAATAAAGAAGTCATTTTAATTCATAGAGTGGTTATGTTGGCAAGCCTTTTTGCTTGAATTAACGTACATTGAGGTGAATGGAGTAACCATCCAAATGATCAGAATCAGGATCAAGTTCATCATCAGTAATCAAGGTCAAGTTACCAGAAGCGTAAAACTGAATCTAGGGACAGAATATTTAGTCACAGGAATAAAGTCAAGGACATAGAAGTAAGGAGTCAGTTTTGCTAAGTCAAGGTTTGAATTCCTAAGGGACAAAATGAGAAGAACTAGGGAAAATACCCAGTTCTGATAAACAGAATAAAACCAAAGATGGAAAACAATAACAAGTAGAATGGATGAGGTGTTTTTTTGGTTTTGTTTTTTTTAATTAGTCAGAGACAAACATGGAAGGGCTAAGGTATTATGTATAAAGCTGCTGCAAGCTCTTTTTTTCCAGAAAATACTTTATTACTTTACAAAGTTAACCCGTGATGGCTCAGCACCTCTTAAGGAAAGGGGCCTGACGATACCCTCTCCTCTGAAAAGTCTTAGAAATAGATTTAAAAGGAATAAATTAATATGTGCACTCATGTTTCCCCCTCTTTAATCCATTTACTAGAATTTTCTGGTAGATAGCGTATCAAGCATATGGGAGAAGTAGCAATGAATAGCTATACTAGGGCAAAATCCTACTGTTCCAATACTAGAAGATTGTATGTTATTTTTCAAGTGGTACTAGTAAGCAAATACACTTTGATAGAAGTATTTAAAATATTATTGTACTCCTATAAGACAGAAAGGTTGCATTTTATAATTTTATAAAATCTTCTTGTAATTTGAACACTTATGATTTGATTTTCTACATTTTAACTTCTAATGCTTTGAATTGAGTTTAAATACACACACACACACACACACACACACCCCCACACACCCCCACATCCCTTTATTAGCTTAGGTAAAATCATTCCTCTTTTAGAAATTGATTTTTTAGCAAAACTAAATACCTCTTCCTGTGTTCCCATTGGCATAAAATTGGGAACCTCACTTTTTGCTGGCATATTACAAAAATGGTAGCTGCTACTTATTTAGTGGTAAATTTGTATTTTCCGTGTCTTCTCCTATGCATTAGGTCCTCAAGAGCTTTTAGCTTTAACTCACTACTTCTAATTTATAAGTAAAAAATGGAGAGCTGGGATTATATTTCCATTTAGATAGGTGGTTTACTGTTTTTTCTCTGCTTACACTGCTCACCTAAACATCTGTGAGTATATTTTCAAAAAAAGAGCTATGACTAAGGAAATGATATAAAATAACAAAATATTTTATATAGTAAGTGATTGTAAAGGAATGCAAAGGAAGAAATATTTTGAGTAGATGCAACGTCTTGCTTCTCTTTTTATTCAGACAATTTTTTTTGCCCTTTATTGACAATTAACTACAGAGTTACTAAAATATTATTTTTGCTTTGGTAGCTGTACTTTTTTTAAAAAAATCATTGTTTTAAAAATAAATTATCTTTTTTTTTTTTTTTTCTTGTCCTTAAAGAACTCTGTGGTATTTATAATGGTTTTGATCTTATGAGCCAGGTAACTATTTGGTAATCATTTCTTATGAAGAAATTTAATTTTCATTTCACAGAGTTTTCATTAGCAACTTCCTTAAATATATCTTCATGAGTGTAATGAATGTGGTTCAGTACCTTCTGAGCTGTCTAGATATTAGTAGAGTGGCCTGGCATGTTGATTAAATGGAGTGGCCTGTCACACAGAGTAAACCTCCTCAATTTCTTTTAAATATGAATTATTGTTATTTAATTGCAACTTCATTTCAAAAGAAAGGAAAGATGCCGCGTACATCTAACAAATAAGAATAAGTCACTAAAAAGAAGAGTACAGGAAAGATGAAGAAAAGAGAACATTTATAGTGTGATTATCATGTCTAAAGATCTGTTCCCGTAGCACCTAATCTATTTCCAAGCAATTCAGAAATCTTGAGAGAATTAATAAACTTTTTGGCTCTCAGGGTGCCTTAGAGAGTATTTTTCAAACTTTTTTTTACTTTAACTCAGTAAATACAGATGGCCCTCCATATCCATGTGTTCTGCATTCATGTATTCAACCAACCGCAGATTTAAAATATTTGGAAAAAATTGCATCTCTACTGAACATGTACCGACTTTTTTCTTGTCCTGATCCCCTAAACAATACAGAATAACTATTTGCATAGTGTTTATATTGTATTAGGTATTAGAAGTAATCTAGGATTTAAAGTATAGGAGAGGCTGTGTATAGGTTATATGCAAATACTACACCATTTTATATCAAGGACATGAGTATGAGTGTCCGTGGATTTGGGTGTCTGATACAGGTCCTGAAACCAATCCTTCATGGATACTGAGGGACAACTGTAATACATTTTACAAGTTGAATAAGTGTAGAAATAAATGTGTATCTTTAAATAATATGTTTAAAAATATATAAATAATTACAAAAAAACTTATGGGATGTGTACTCTGATATTTTCTATTTCATTTTTTAAAAACCTGCTATGTTGATTTCACAACCCCTAAATGAGTGATAAATAGCAGCTTGAAAAATATTGAGGGGATTATTCTCTGAATAAATGGATTCTTTATCATTTGTTTATTCACTCAACAGGGTATTATTTGCAAGGCAGTGTTTTAAGTGCTTCAGTATTCAAAGAGAGTTAGATACAGTCCTTGTTCTTATAGTCAATTACTTGTGCTCATTTAATCTTAAAGTCCACATAAAATACAGTATAATATATATGTATGAATTTTTTATTAATTTTCTGTCCTTTCTGTCTCATGCTCTGATATTACTGCTAGATATATTTGTAGAGATTTCCTGTGACTTGACCTTTTTATTTATCTATCTGTTCATAATCATAAGTCATAATGTGTTTGTGACATAGTGGTTTCTATGGAAACAACATTTATTGCCTCTCAAAGAAGCAAGAACACTCTAAATTTTAAAGAAAATAGAATTTGGTGGTAGTGCTAGGGAGAAAGCATCTGACCAAGGGAAAACAAAAATATATGAGTTTGTGTCAGGAGGAACAATTTCAAATTTTTCTAATTTGAAAAAATAAAAGTATTACTTTAAGTGCTGCTTTTGAAAAAAAGTCTTCCAAATAATGCTAGTTATCTTTTTTAGTTTTAAATATTTACAATTTTCTCTTTTATCTTTTTACTATTTTCTTTAGTAAAATGTTCTCCTTACCTCATTGTGTAATTTTTAAAAATACGGTTCTCAAAGATACTTCTTACATTATTGGTAAGGAATATCATTTAGATTTTGCCTAATAGTTCACATACAGAGAAGATAGCTTCACACACACAAAAATGGAACTTTAGATCACTATTAATAGTACAAGCTCTCCATTTTTACACTTCTGCAGTAAGCTGAAAAATTTCTTTTGAGACCCCTCAAAATACACCAATGATTATAGACTACAGATATTAAATTGTGATAATTTAAAAGCGTTACATTATTTGTGTTGAGGAAGTTAATACTGATTTTAATTCTTTCCCCATTAACCACTTAAACTAATTTGTGTAAGTATATATTAAGGATTTTAGGTTTTTGATATAATGTTGTCCAATTAACTCTCTATATGCAGTGTGTTAATAACTTATCAAGTATACTGAGGGTCAGGAACAGAGGAATGTGTTCATGGCCATGAATTATAGATGAAAGGGTTTCCAGATTGGAATGCAGTTGATTACAGAGGAGTTCTTAGAGAGAGTTAAAAACATACTACCAATGAAAGATGATAGACAGTTGAATATAAGGTGTAAAATTTTCCAAAATGATTTTCAATTGTACTATTCATAGACATTTGCAAATGCCATTGTTATTTATGTTGATTCTTTTTGGAATTATTATATTCTTCTTTTTCTATTGATGGTTGTTTTCCATTGTATAGCTGTACGACAGTTTATCCATTCATCTACTGAAGGGCATCTTGGTTACTTCCAAGTTTTGGCAATTATGAATAAAGATGCTGTTAACATCTGTGTTCAGGTTTTTGTGTGGGCATACATTTTCAACTCATTTGAAGCACAATTATTGGATTGTATGGTAAGAGTATATTTACCTTTGTAAGGAACTGCTAAACTGTCTTTCAAAGTGGCTGTACTGTTTTTCATTCCCACCAGCAATGAATGAGAGTTCCTGTTGTTCCACATGCTCACCATCATTTGGAGTTGTCAGTGTTTTGGATTTTTGCCATTCTGATAGGTGTGTGGTTGCATTTCCTTGTTTTAACTTGTAATTCTCTAATGATATATGATGATGAGCATTTTTTAATATACTTAGTTGCCATCTGTGTATCTTTTTTGGTTGTCTACTCAGATCTTTTGCTCATTTTAATTGTGTTCATTTTCTCATTGCTGAGTTGCTCCAATTTTTATGCTGTGAAATTAATCATAAAAACATATAAGACACATCACTAAAGAAGATATACAAATGGCAAATAATCACATGAAAAGTTGCTCAACATCATTAGTCATAGGGAAATGCAAATTGAAATCACAATGAGACACTGCTATATACCGACAAGAATGACTAAAATCAAACAGACTGATAATACCAAGTGTTGACAAGTTGTGGAGATACTGGAACCTCCATGGATTGCTAGTGGGAATTGTAAAATGGAATGGCAACCGTGGAGAAGATTTTAATTTCTTTAAAAGTTAAATATACAGTTACCATAAAACCTAGCAGTTTGACTCTTAGATTTCCAAAGAAATGAAAAACAGTTCCACATAAACACTGCTACATTATAATGTATAGCAACATTATTTATAATAGCCAACAACCGGGAAAATGCAAATATCTATCAACAAGTGAATGAGTAAGGAAAATACAGTATATCCACACAATGACTACTACTCTTAATAAAAAAACAAACAATTGGTCAATGTAACTATATGGATTAACTTCAAAAGCATAATACTAAGTGATAAAAGTAAACCACATTTTATGATTCCATTTGTATGAAAATCTGGAAAAGGCAAAACTATAAACATAGAAAGCCGATCAGTGGTTGTCTGCAACTGACTGTGGAAGCACAGATAGAGTGCAAATGGTCACAAGGGAAATTTCAGGGGTGACGTAAGTGTACTAAAACTAGGTGGTTGCATTACTGCATACATTTACTACAACTCATTGTTTGAACTATACATTTAGATGTGTGAATGTTGTGGTTTGTAAAGTTACCTCAACGCAGCTGTTACAAACAAACAAAAGATATATAATAATGTGTTTTATTATTTTCCTACCTAGGTAATTATCTGCAAGAAATTTTCTGAGAAGCTGGTAGAATTTCCATTGCTAGCCTCTTGGTACCAGAGGATTCAGGAAGTGCCAAGAGTAAAAACAGCAGCTTCTAAGTGTGGTATCCAATTTCTCCATTTACCAAAGTTGTTGACAGTCTCAACTGAGCAGCGTCCAAACTTAAGTGAAGTCCCAGGTGTAGAAGAGCACAGCGATCCTTTATTTATAGGAGGACCAAGACCAACCATGGCCAAGTTAATGGTACTTAATTGTGTTATTAACATTTTCTTTCAAAAATTCTATATGATAATGTTGCTGAGCATTCTGCTCAAACTTGTACATTTGTTGACATTTTTTTTTTTACAAATTTTATTTGTAGCTTTCTTACTTCACTCTTTGCCAGTTAATATTTCTGCTACTTTTTTCATTTATGTGAAGTATACTAAATTTAAAACTTTTAGTATTATGTATTTTTGGAGCCAAGTAAGTCACAATATATACTTTTAAAAAGCATTTTTCTCAAAACTTTTTTTTTTTTTCTTTTAATATTCAGGATATTGACCAAGGTAGCATCATACCTGGTCAAGTGTACTATTTTAACATAATCTTTTTCTGTTGTAAAGTTTTGGTCTCAGCCTTTTTTAGTTTGGATAATGATTTCAAGTTAAAGAAATATAAAGATGAGGCTGGACATAGTAGCTTACACCTGTGATGCCAGCACTTTGAGAGGCTGAGGCAGGCCTATCACTTGAGGTCAGGAGTTCGAGACCAGTCTGGGCAACATGGCAAAACCCTGTCTCTACTAAAATTACAAAAATTAGCTGCGTGTGGTGGCATGTGCCTATCGTCCCAGCTATTCAGGAGGCTGAGGCACCAGAATAGCTTGAACTTGGGAGGGTGGAGGTTACAGTGAGCCGAGATTGTGCCACTGTACTCCAGCCTGGGCGACAAAGTGAGACTCTTACCTCGGGAAAAAAAAAATATATATATAAAGATTAATATCTCAATTTACTTTCCAAGGTTTTATTTAAATTTGTAATTTTGGAATTCTTCTAATTTTATTTTTACTTTAATCTTTGATTTTAATGTTTTTGTTATATAACAAGCCTGGGCGACAGAGTTAGACCCTGTTTCAAAAACAGAAAAAGCATATGCTTTATTTTTTTCTCACTGGGGCATAGTTTGTTTTCAGTAGTACTAATTGTAAAGTTTTCAACAATGGGCTTTCCTTTCCCTAACATTTGAAATGATCTGCAAAAATATTTTTGCTTTTAATAGGTGATGTGAAGATTTATTTGAATAGAAAATTCATGAAGTAATTTAAGTTATCCATCGAGTTGCACTGGAAAAATATTTTATTTCCCTATTTGGGTTAGGAAGTAATTGAGTTCTGTAGTTAACAGAGTTTACTGATTTAGAAATGGACAGGAAGACTTTGGTAAGGATACCAATTCCTTAACTCTTCATCTAAGCTCTGTGGCCTATTGATTAAGTAATGAAACGTGATTATATAGTTGATTTTAGAAGTTATTGAAGCATGTCTAGATTTTGATGTGTCTTGATTATATGACTACCCTGCCAAGGGACCTCTGGTTCACCTCTTGAGTGGATATGCAACTTCTTTTGGAAATGATGAAATGATGAAAATATCTTAAAATAGATAGTGGCAATGGTTGAATTGTGAATATTCTAAAAACCACTGAATTGGATGCTTTAAAAGGAGAAATTGTGTGGTATTATATATAAATTATATCTCAATATAGTTGTGTTTTTTAAAAGACCCTAAGGTAAGAATGAGTTTAGTGAAATGAGAAATAGCAAGAAAGTCAGTGTGGCTAGACTGAAGGAGATAGAAGAGAGGTAGATGATGTCAGAGAGATGTGTTTATCTTTCTGGAGGCAAATGAGTGCACAGGGCTTGTAGACCAATAACCATATCTCTAGCCCTAATGAAAGATTCTTTGTACTATTTCCTTTGGGATGCAAATTCAGCTAGTTTTTGTAATGGAAAGTAATCTCATAAACTGATACAAAGCATTTAATGCTGGAGTCTCAGAGATTTTTTATTTGAATAGGTTATTCCTAAAGATAAAAGTAACTGAGCCATGGAGGTAGCTAAACATAGATATAGATGTAGATGTAGATATAGATATAGATATAGATATATAGATATAGATATAGATATACACTGTGGACTATGGACCTGGAATGTGATTGGAAGGGATCTGTGAATCCATGTGTATGCCATGCCACTGTACATAGATCAAATAAACAAATGTACAGCTTCTAAGACAGAGAAGGATCCTGCAATTTTTTTAATATATTGAGAAGTGGTTCTAATTCTTGAAAATACTGGGAACTATTTGGTTAAACCAGAGAAATTTTTCTCTAGTGACATTAAAGATGCTTCTAAAAGACTAGTATGAGTGGTGTTTTGGGGTATGTGTTAAAGTGGTAGCTTTTAGGCTGTGGTGGTTTTCATATATGTAAACGGAGACCTTGATGGACATATGCAGAGTTCTTTATTATTTCTATATGGATTGTTTTTGATAACATTTTCATCTTCAACTGAACTTTCTCTTTGATATCCAATATATTTCTAGGTAGCTTATAGCTTCTATGGGTCTTCTAGTAATAATTTTAAAATAGCATAACTTTTTATTATCTCAATATAAAAAAATAGGATAGTGTGATGTCAAAATACTCAACACACTGTATTTTTATTTAATTAAAATATGTATTTTAGGGAATAGCTGATGATTATTACTATTTATCCTCCTTACCAATATAGAAATATAATTTTTAGCCTTCAAGAATATAATAAGACTATATTAATTCCTTAATTTAGAAAAAGGCTGTTTCCTTTTCTAGGAAAAGGGCATTGAAGTGATGTTTTCTCCCCACCCTTGCCCTACTTGGACTGTTGATTGGAATGTTCTCCCTGCAGCAGTCAGCCCAAAGGAAGGTGAGTTTTCTTTTCTCTTTAAGTTTTATTCATAATTTGGATACTGTCTTCAGATCTGTCTAATACTGTAAATCTCCCTTTGGCTTTATCTAACATTCTGATTACACTATCAGTTGAGTTTTCATTTTATTTTTATTATGAAAATTATATATACACACACACCACTTAGATTTAATATTTCTCACATTTTTCTACATTTGTTTTATTTGTTACTGTTTTTTCTTTGCTGACATATTTTGAAAAAAAAATTCCAGGTAACATGTCATACGTTAGGACTCATATTTTAAAAATACTGGTATCTTAAATAATCACAATGCCATTATCATACCTAATAAAAATTAACAAACTTTAATGATCATCTAATGCCCAATTTATAATCCATTTTCTCCAATTGTTTAAAGTATTGTTGAGAAATATTGTTTTATTGTTTGGTTTTAAGTTGAGTGATTATATTTTTCTTTGCTGGAGATTATATTTGGTTTGTTTTTGTTTCTTCTTTATAATTTTTCAAACATAGTTATCTTATATTTTATATTTGTTATTTCTAATAGATAATCGTTATTTTATATTTTGTACTTGTTATTTCTAATACTTAATGTTCATAGAGGTATAATTCTGCTGTTTGTTTTTTCTGTTGACTTTATTTCTGGTACCTTATTTTCCTGTGAGTTTTGTAATTTTAGACTGTGAATTCATTTGGGGTTACCTCAATCTGTGGTGTCTTGTGGGACTTGGATTAAGGATAAATTCCCACAGAAAGGGATTATATTTGCTTATACGTACTACGACTTAAGACCACTTAGCGTTGGTTTTTCAGCTTCAAATTTCTTCTAAAAATGTTTAAATTTAATTATATTTATTATTTTTTCATTGACACATAATTGTGCATATTTATGGGGAACAATGTGATATTTTGATACATGTATGCAATGCGTAATGATCAAATTAGTATAATTAGCATATTCATCATCTCAGACATTTATCATTTCTTTGTGTTAGGAACAGTTGAAATCTGCTCTTCCAGCTATTTGAACTGTTATTAATTATAGTCACCAAACAGTGCTGTAGAACCCAGGAACTTATTTTTCTTATCTAGCTGTAATTTTATATCCATTAACCAACGTCTGTCCTTTCCAGGCTCTAGTAACCACTATTTTACCTCTAATTCTTTAAGACCAACTTTTTTTACCTTCCAAATATAAGTGAGAACATGTGATATTTGTCTTTCTGTGCCTGGTTTATTTTATTTAGCATAATGTCCTCTAAGCTCATCCGTGTTGCTGTGAATGACAAGATTTATTTCATTTTTATGACTGGATAGTACTCCATCATATATATGTACGACATTTTCTTTATCTCTTCTTCTGTTGATGGACACTTAGGTTGATTCCATATCTTGGCTATTGTGAATAGTGCTGCAATAAACATGTAAATGTAGATATCTCTTCACTATACTGATTTCTTTTCTTTTGGATATATATCCAGCAGTGGAATTGCTAGATCCTATAATAGTTCTAATTTCATTTTTGAGAAAAGTCCATACTGTGTTTCATAATGGCTGTACTAGTTTATATTCCTACCAACAGTATATAAGAGTTTCCCTTTCTTTGCATCCTCACCATGTTATTTTTTGACTTTTTAATAATAGACATTCTAACTGGGATGAGAAGATATTGAGGGTTTGATTTGCATTTTCCTGATGACTACTTATTTATTTTTGCTATTTAGTTGTTTGAATTCCCTGTGTATTCAGGATATTAATCTTTTGTTGGATGAATAGTTTGCAAATATTTTTTCTCTTTCTGCTGATTGTCTCTTCACTTAGTTGATTGTTTCCTTTGCTTATATAGGTTTTTAGTTTAATATAATTCTATTTGTCTATTTTTGCTTTTGTTGTCTATGCTTTTATGGTCTTATTCATAAAAACTTGCCCAGTCCAATGTCTAGAAGCATTCTCCTTATATTTTCTTCTAGTAGTTTTATAGTTTTGGGTCTTACATTTAAGTCTTTAATCCATTTTGAGTGGATTTTGGTATATGATGAAAGATAAGGTCTACTTTTATTCTTCTACATATGGATATCCAGTTTTTCTAGTACCATTTATTGCAAAGACTGTCCTTTCCCCAGTGAATGTCCTTGACACCTCTGTAAAACATGACTTGGCTATAAATGAGTAGAGATACACTTTGGATATTTGTCCTCTGTAAATCTCAAGTTGAAATTTGAACCCAAATGTTGAAAGTGGGATCTCAAGGCAGGTGTTTGGTTCATGGGAGCAGATTCCTTATGATTGGCTTTGTGACATCCTCATGGTAATGTGTGAGTTCTCATTCTTAGTTCCCATGATAACTGGTTGTTGAAAAAAGCCTGGTATCTCCTCTACTCTCTCTTTCTCGCTCCCCTTTGCTATGTGATGCCTGCTCCCCTTTGCCTTCTGCCATGAGTGGAAGCTTCCTAAGACCCTCATCAGAATCAGATGCTGACCCTGTGCTTCTTATACAGCCTGCAGAACTGTGACCTAAATAAACCTCTTTTCTTTATAAATTACTCAGCCCCAGATATTCCTTTATAGCAATATACAAATGGACAAAGACAAGTGGATTCATTTCTGGTTCTCTATTCTGTTCCCGTGGTCTATGTGTCTGTTTTTAATGCCAGTACCACAGTATTTTGGTTATTATAACTTTGCAGTATATTTGAAAATTAGGTTGTATGAGGCCTTCAGCTTTGTTCCTTTTACTCAGGATTGCTTTGGCTATTCAGACTCTTCTTTGGTTATACATGAATTTTAGGATTTTTTTTCTATTTTTGTGAGGATTGTCATTAATATTTTCATAGAGATTATACTGAATCTGTAGATCACTTTTGGTACTATGATCATTTTTATAATGCATGAACATGGATGTCTTTTTTGTGTATCCTCTTCAATTTCTTTTATCAGTGTTTTATAGTTTTTCTCTAAAAGTCTTTCACTTCTTTAAATTCGTTGTTTTTTTTTTCTCTCGTTTGTCTTGTTTGTTGTTCCTGTATACAGATGCTACAGAATTTTATATGTTGATTTTGTATCCTGCAGTTTGGCTGAGATTCTTTATCAGTTCTAAGTGTTTCTTGGTAGAGCTTTTTGGTAGGTTTTTCTATATATAAGATTGTGTCATCTGCAAATAGGGACAATTTGACTTCTTCCTTGCCAATTTGGATGCCCTTTATTTCTCATGCCTAATTGTTCTGGCTAGGACTTAGTAGGATTCAGTATGGTGAATAAGAGTGGTGAGAATGGGCATCCTTGTCTTGTTCCAATTCTTAGAAGAAAAGCTTTCAGTTTTCCCCATTCAGTATGATGTTAGCTATGGGTTTGACATATGACCTTTATTATGTTGAGGCATGTTCCTTTTATACCCAGTTTGTTGAGAGTTTTTATTACAAAGGATGTTGAATTTTATCAACTGCATTTGGTGTATCTATTGAGATAATCACATAAGTTTTGTCCCTCATTCTGTTGCTATAATGTATCTGATTTATTGATTTGCATATGTTGAATTATCCTTGTATTCCTGGGATAAATTCCACTTGATCATGGTAATGAGTGTTGTAGTGTGCTGTTGGATTTTCTGTTTGCTAGTATTTTGTTGAGGATTTTTGCATCACTCCTTATCAGGGATATTGACCTATAGTTTTCTTTTTCTGTTGTATAATTTTCTCTTTTTCTGTTGTATTCTTGTCTAGTTTTTGTATCATGGTAGCGCTAGCCTCATAGAATGAGTTTTGAGTAATTCCCTCCTCTTCAATTTTGTGGAAGAGTTTGAGAAGAACTGGTATTAGATCTTCTTTGAATGTTTGGTATAATTCAGCTGTGAAGTCATCAAGTCCTAAGCTTTTCTTTGATGGGAGACTTTTTATTACTAATTCCATCTTGTTACTGATAATCAGTCTATTTCTAGGAGGTAGGACACTGCTTCAGTGTAGGCACTGGGAAGACATGACTGCAGTTGGTGGCCAAGGTACTGTTTTTCCAAGAGACTGTGTACTTTTTCAGCTCACACACAGAGGGGCATGACTGCTCTTGTTGGTCAAAGCCCCATTTACCTGGGATGTCTTGTGTTGCTTCAGTTCTGGTCCAGAGAGGCACGGTGTAGCAAAGACTGGGAGAGATTTTTAGAACAGCTCTTTCAGGCCATCATTTTTCTTAGAGGCAGTGTGCAGCTTCGGCTCAGTCCCCTAAGAGCAGGTGCATACATGACTGAGGGATGGAACGATTCTGCCTGAACACCATTTCTCCAGGAATGAGTGCGCAGCTTCAGCTCTAGCTGTGAGTGGGGACTAGGAGGAGTGCATGAAGCAGCTCCACTACTGCTTGAGCCCACAGGGAGTGGTATAAGAGCTGGTCACAGCTAGGCTCGGGGATGTCAGGGCACTGGGCAAGAGTGGTTTGGCAGCAGCTTAGCCTCAGAGATGAAGGGATATTGTGGGTACTCGCGTCTGAGCAACACTCCAACAGTAGTTCCAGTTTGAAGATGGCATTGTGCAGTAGCCACATAGGCCCCAGGGTGCAAGGCATAGTGTCAGCTCCTTCTCTGTGGGAAGACGGCTATGTGGACTATAGGCAGCTCCCTCAGCTGGACTTCAGTACACCGATCAACACTTTGAACAACTATAGTCCTCACTACTGGAGTGAGGACTATAGTTTTGCTTGCCTTTTGCTAGCCTTTCCCCATGGGGAGAAGTTCCTCCTAATTCCCATCTGATCCCTGCTGGGGAATGGGGTGGTGGAGACCAGGTGTTTCCTTCAGTTCTCTGTATGGCTATCCTGAGTTCCTGTGTTCGCCTGCGTTTCTGTTACTTCTTTGATGTACTCCAGCACTCTCCTTTAGTCATTTTCATTGTGATGTAGTTATTTATTAGTTGTTTAGGCTGTTTTTGTGGTGGGGGTATGGGAGGCTCGGGCATATGGAGTGTTAGGGGCTTCTTAAGCACAGATTCTTTAAACATTTTTTCATCTAAAA